TAGATCAGCTTGTGAAGAAGAGAGCTTCGCTTGGCTTGAATGTTCAGAAAGATCAGTGAATCATTTATGAAAAGCGGGCACTCAAAAAGCCCTCTTTAAGATCCTCACTTGACTTGGCAGTCCTTTGTTATGAAAACCTCTTCAAAACGAAAAAAGGGGATCAATGCTAAATTTAAGAGCACTCCCTCTTCAGAAAATTTAAAAGCTGAGATTGAATTATCGTTTAGCAGAACTGATGAGTACTCTCTTTTTATTGATCCGAATTCTTCGATATGCATATATTTAACAGATCGTTTAAGATCCGTGTGTATGATGATTGTTTCAATTGATCACGATTTATCACAGTATAACGTTCTACTGGGTATCTCTCAAGAAATGGATTCGGCGAGAAGAGAGGCGAGCATAAAGATCCGCACGATCTTCCTTGGAGTGTGAAGATCACTTCTCTGACACTGATGCGACGGCTTCCTTTCACTCTGCCCCATTTCGCCTTGTCAGGATCGCGTCTCCGATCAGCTCAATTAGCCACAGTCCATGCAAATCACCTGGAATCTCCCTGGTATCTACTCTGACAACTGACACGATGATCCATGGCGGCTGTCATAAATCTCACCCACCGCGGCACCAATCTCCTCCAAGGGATTGGTTCAAATTGTTCCTGGAAACGAATTCTCTCTCCTGCTCATCTTCCTTCTGATCCTCCTGCTACGCTTCCATGTTGGTGGTCAGAAACGCGCTGGTAAAAAGTGCAAATCACTTCATTAATGTGCCGGTTGGACACAGCGAGTTGCAACATTGTTGCCACAGGGCAGCATTTGGGCGGCTGCCCATCATTTGCCTTAATGGATCCACCGGCACCCCAGCTTCCATCATTATCAGCCGACCGGTAGAATTTCCCAGTTTCCGCCCTCCAGATTCGCCATAAAGATGCCAGACTCGGCACTGCCCCTGTTTTTGTCCCTGGTGCCAGGTCCTCCTCCCAACTTCCCGCTTCGTCTCATCTGCCTTTTCCCCTGTAGTTGTGTGACCCGCAAACAAAACACGGAAAAGAATACGCCGGGCACTGGAATTCCATGAACGATCGTCGTCAATGGGTTAAAGCATTTAAAGGAGACCAAGCTGAGTGGATAAAATGCACTTGAATAACGAATACCCTATAATTGAACATTCTAGTAAGTTCGGGAGTTCATAAAGAATATAGTTCCAATTTTATTATATGGAGAGAAATCCGATATTATAAATTATCGAACACATATCGTTTTCTTTCCTTTTTTGTTGATTAGAAATCGTTTGTTTGACAACAGAATATCGAAATATTACAATCACATCGTTGAAACGTCGTTGGAGTATTGATATATGTATGTATATAGTAGTCGGACCTGTCATTCCCTTCGCTACCCTACAAAGGCCTTTGGGCATGCACAAAAAACGCACACTCATGCCGCGGCAATGTCGCTGTTGTCTTTGCTGACTTTTTGCAACGCCCGATGTTGGCACGATATGCTCCTCTGCAACATTGTTGCATGGGAATGGAGTCGAGAGTCGGGTCGAATCGCCACTGGAGCTTCAGAGGTTGGGAGGTTGCCAGTTGCCAGTTGCCAGTTGCAGGTCTGGAATGCTGCAACTCATTTTGCCACATCTCTCAGCGCCGCAGTTTGTGCGTTAATTGAGCATGCGACGAGCGATAACTGCTGATCCCCCATATATATTTAGATACAGATATCTGTCTGCTTCTTCGATTTTTCTGCCTTAGGAAGGAGTTGAAGTTGGAGTTGGAGGCAGAGGTCAGCAGATCGACATTCGCCTTGGTTTCTTCTTTGGCCACTTTAATTGCTCTCGTAATTCTCTCAACGCTTAAAGCGATTATTATGGCGCATTGTGTCTATAGAAAGTCCAAAACGAAAGCTTCCGAAGAAAGAAAACTTGAAAATTGTGTTAAGCATTTACACGTGCCGCCACCATAAAAGATTTGTAGTCCAAATATTTGGCTGGGAACTTCCAATGCGGATGCTCTACAATTGTGGATTTCGAAGGTGTAGGAGGACGAGGAAAGTTAGCAAATGGTGTGGGATCGCAGGTAAGTGATCCAATGAGTCTTAAGGTCATGAGAAACTTCAAGCGAGGGTTTATCATAATGAGCTGTAAAATATTACAGAATCACCTCGCTCTCAAGAGTATCTGTTTCTTAAATAGAAAGAATTCATTTTTTATCTTTACTTTGAGTGAGTTTCGTATATTTATTTAAAACTAATTTCGATCTTCGAAAATAACCAAATAAATAATACTATAATTAATTCTAAGCCCTATCTTTGAAACCACACCATCATCGATCAATGGACTCCGATAGCTCCCTGCTTTATCGATGCTCCATAATTATAAGAGGCCCCCTGAAGGTGAAGTTTCAGGTCTTCACTACAGTTTATTCCAGATTGGACTTAGGCAGGCAAAGATTGCTTTGAGCTGTGAGCTATGTTGCGTAAATTGAACAAATGAACGACAAGGTGAACGAAACAAATCTCGAGAGTAAACAAAAAACAACAAGTGACAAGCACAACAAACACAAAACAACAATAAGCAAACAAACAACGAATCGTACGTATATAAAAGGGAGACAAAGGCAAGGGAAAAGAGGGACAAAAATAATAATAAAAATTTCATGATTCGAATGGGAAAAGGTGTCATTGCAGGTGAGAAACGAGAGCACACGCGTATACCACTTTGGGAGGCCAAGACAAAAAAACTCAAGCCCGCTTCATAGATTATGACTTACTGGAAATCGAAGACCCCGAGTTGCAGTAGATTTTCTTGAATGAATTTATGAGGGTACTCCGCCCTTTTTTCTGGGACTATTCCTTACCGTTCAAATGCGTTTGACTTCATCATCGTCTTTAATTTATAATTTTCCCTCGCATACTTATACTTTTTAATTCATAAATTATAAGGGGGGATATGTTGGTCAATTGCTTGTTGGGTGGACAGTTATGGGCATAAATTACGCCTCGAGTTGTAAATTCTTCGAAATGCTAAATTAAAAGTTATTTATTGTATTTGATTTACTCTACGTGCTTTGTTTGTGAAATATGTACAGCCAGAAAAAGTCTTGGAAAAAGTAGGGGGAGGACAAGTCATTAGGGGGACTAGAATGTGACCGGAAACGGTTGAAAGAAAGGGTATACTTATTTTTTCGTATATGGTATATGTTGATGTGTTCAATAAACAGGTAATAAGCCAGTAAACGATTTCATTAAACGGTAATGTCTATTCATAAAGAATAGCGTTTACATCAGAATATTACCATGCAAAAATATAATTTGTGAATTCCAATATCTATAACAGCTAAATTCTATACCTAAATGAAGTTCCATTTCGAACCCTGTCAACTTCTCACTCTCACACCTTCCTATCCCAGCTCATAAGTGGGATGTGTGAGTGCTTCCTTTTCTCAGGGGCGTGGCTTGTGTGTGCAGCCGCAACCAGTTAGCCATTTTATGGCTTGTCTAATATCCTTTAACTGCCATCGGGCCATTAAAAAGCATAAAGTCATTTGGTAATTAATTTTCATGTTGGTTCCTCCGTCCCGTCCAGGAGATAGATATGATGATGATGGTGGGGAGTTAGGGGAGACCCCGGAACAGGGCGCGGTCGAGTTTGGTTAGTTCCGGCCTCGCTGCTTGCTCTTCGCTCCTGACTACGAGCCTTTACCGTTGTATCATTCTGCATATTAACAAAACAAAGCACAACACACACACATGCAGTCGAAAAACGCGCCAAACATGTCCTACCTCTCGTGAGTTTCCAGTGCGCACGACAACCAAAGCCAGGACGATGCTGGACCTCCTCCGATGCCGATGCAGTTTGTGCCGGGTTCCCTTCCAGTTTCCATTACTACGGGCATTTTTACTACGTTTTATCGATCCGTCCGTGTGTATCCATCCTGCGCGCGCTTTTGCCGGCTTCAGTTGTGTGTATTCCGCGCTCTGTATCCTGTAGCCCGTTGTCCGTATCCCGAGTCCTGCTGCTGTACGCCCAGCCAAAAAAGGAAAAGAGCAAAGGCGACGAAAAGAGCCGAAGCTCAATCGGGTTTTAGGTTGGAGGAAGCTGGGAAGCTGGGCGAGGCCACATCAAAAGAGCATACTCCACGGGGGTTCCCCTCGTTTCACTTTCCACTTGATTCCTTGCGCTTGACAGCCACCCAAAGGAGGAGGATGCAAGGATGCAACTCAGCTCAGAGCTTGCTCTCTCTTGCCGGCGCTCCGCTCTCGTCTCTCGGCCATTGACCTCTGATGTCAAACGAAATCGGCGCGCCCTTATTAAGTAGAGAGGGGGGCAGGGCAAGAGCAGGACCAGGAACAGTATCAAGAGCAGGAGCAGGAGTAGGAGTAGGAGCAGAAGCAGCAGCAGTTAGAGCATGGAGTTGCAAGGGGACACTCGACCACGGTCCAGGGAATTGCAACTTCACAAGGGGGAACCCAGGCAGGACATGGACAAGAGGCAGGAGTGGGGCTTAGGGCATGGGAGCACGTTGAGTGGATTGCCGTGGATTGGATTCTGTGGTGCACCCGCTCATCCTCATCCTCATTCTCGTCCTGGGCCAGAGTTGCCTTACGGCCAACTTCCGAGTTTGTTTTGTGTTGTGTAAATTACGTTATTTACGTGTATATTGTTGGCCAGAGTTGCGGGCTCGGCTCCGGCTTCGGGTTGCTTTTGTTGTGTTTTGTCTGTTTATGAGATGACAGGAGAGCTTAAATTGGATACGCCAGCAAAGTCCAAATTGTTGCAATTGTTCAGGGAAAAATTACAATAAAAAAAAACCCGCTTTACTTAAAGATCTCTAGTTTCTTAATATATGTATATATATATATATATATATCATTTTTGTTGCCCTTTATTTAATTGGTATTTTCAACAAATATCTAAATATATATTTTTTTACATTTTTTACTTTGAGATATTTAAAAACAAAAAAAAGTATAAAAAATATCTATTATTTAGGCCTTAGACTATATTTTTGGTACGAAAAATATCTAAATAAAATTACGTAAACTCTACGTGTAGAATACACAGACATATTTTGGACATGCATTTCTTATAAAGACATTAGTTTAGACTTGCTTTGGTTTGTTGAAAACTTTTCATGTGGTTGTCGTCACGACTAGTATTGCTTCCAGTTGCTGTAAAACTTTGGACCTCGAAATTTTAACCGAAACTCGAAAGGGGAACCGAATTTTCGCAAGTGTCTTCCTCGCTGTAGGAAAGAAATTTTGAAATTAAAATATATTACTACAGGGTATTAAGGCTTTTTATAGATTTTTTTTTGTATAAAATCCATGAAGGATGGTAAAAGGAAAATTTTTATAAATTGACAATCACCTCTAACACATGCGAAATAAATTACTATAGGCTAAAGATCAATTAAAAAGACACCTAAACGTACAATTTATACATATAATAGGAATTAACTGCGTTGTTAATTATATTTTCAAGTGTCAACAATTTGTGGCATACTTTTAAAAACCAAAATTCTATTTTGCAGCATGCTTTTTCCCACGAGCTACAAACAGACATCTATTTCATAGGAACATTAAATAGTTAGAATATAATTACAAATTAAATTAAATTAAATAAGCTTTTTTATTGGCACTAAGCTGATATAGCTTTGGTATTCTTTGTGAGCTCTACGATTACTGAACATATTTATAGGGTTCTGGTTTACTCACTTATCTATGCGTCGAAGAAAGTTCTGGATTTGTTGATTCTTCCCAATCAGTGCGTAGAGTGCTGCGAATCCATGAAAGGCCATGCAAAAGCTGACGGCATAGTTGAGGTGTGACCGCTCCTCGCGATAATAATTAAAGGCGAATGAGCAGACGCAAACAAACCATACGAGTGCGGTGTAACCGAAATATTTCCAAAAGGATCGAAAGCGATTCTTCTCAATGGACTCAAAACTCTTCTCGGTCTCGATCTCGGGCTGTTTGCTGATATAGATCAGGCTAAGGATGTAGAAGAAGCCACTGATGGCGCACGCCACAAAAACGGGGGCGTACAAGTACACCATAATAGACCAATTTCGAGCTAGAAAAATGATTCGTTAATTAGTGATTAGGGATCAAAAAGATTCTCAACTGCTTACGATCGAACCAGCAAGTATCGCCGCCAAAGATCAACCTTGAAGCGTAGTAACTGGAGCCTGCGAAGAAGGACCAACCTATGGCTATCAACACGATCGGAGTGAAGATTAGCCAGAACATGAGCTTGGTGAACACGACGCCATGGAAGCTGAGGTAGAGCTTGAACGCAATGAAGCTCAGGATGTAGAAGGAGAGAACCAGATACATCAGAGTTAAGCAGGCTAAGTAAACGATTAGGGAAGAGACTACAGGAGCAGATTAATATAACTCACGTAAGATTCTACAAGCTGCATTTGAGAGGTTGGCCGGGTTGTGCAAAGTAAGGTAGGCCAGAAGGGCATAACCCATGATCATACAAATAGTGTAGGCTTTGATCGCCACACCATAGAAACTGTTGCGCATCTCGGAGCACATCAGGTACACCATTAGCACAATAAACATGGATATAATGGCGATCGAGAGACCTGCAAAGAGGAACGAACAGAGCGAGAGATCAGCTGGATATATGCATGAATATCTCTGACGATCAAACTATCAATCCACACATCAGAGATTTCGTTTTGTTATTTTAGCAATTATTTTTATGAGGCGAGGCGGTGTCTATTTTTGCCTTAAAAATGGGAATTGAATTAAAAAGCATATTTGTGACTGTGTTTAATCGCTTGTGGAACTCACATATGGCGTAGGTCCATTCCCGCACGCCCAGTACAAAGTGTAGCTTCTCCGGGGCGCAGGCCAAGGGCTGCCAGTCCCAGGAGGTGTTTCCATTGGGCAGGAGCACGGGAGTGAAGCAATAGTGCTTGGAGAACAGGTGGCCCTGATGGGTGACTGTTCCGTTCTGGAAACGAGAGAAAATAGGAGAGGATATATGAGCTTGCATTGAGAGGTTGATTTCTTACCTCGTGCAGCGTCCAGTGCACATACTCTTCCGATCCCTTGGTCACTGCCTTCATGAGCTCACACGGAGTGCCCACATAAATGCTGAAGCGTGACCTTAGTTCTATATTCCTCAGACTGCCGTTGTTGAGCTCCACTTCCATGTGGCTCTCCGAGGGTAGACTGGATAATCCCCGTTTGGGTATCTCGCACTCCCTGCTACCCAGGTCGTAGGTCTGTCCCTTGGGACAGCAAATCCTTACACAGGGTCTCGTCTTACACACGCAGGCCCTGAGGTGAATGGGCGCCGGTATCCGGATGCCATTCTCGATGACAAAGTCGTAGGCGGCCACCAGATGACGTGGAATCACTGTCCAGTTGTGGATGTAGGAGCCTTCCGAGTTGTAGCTTCCCGAGATGTTGGCGGTGTCAATAAAGGCGCAGGGATAGTGCGTCTCCTCGTGGTATCCCCAGCAAATGTGGGCTGTGAGGAGGAGGAGAAGGATCTTCATTCCCAGTGTGCACAACTGCGCCATTCGAAGAGACATTCTCGACTGCCGAACGAATCTCTGGTTCTCCCTGCTTCGGGATGTGTTTTTGTTTACACTATGGCGTCCAATTTATGCGTGTTTACCCCCGGTCGATTGCCAAATCCGAATCGAATTGGTATGGAAATGGTATCGAAATGAACTAACAGACCGAATGGTACAGGTAGGGGTAATTGTAATGCACTGATGACGGGACGGGGCACAGGTGCGAGAGCCGCTAATTGAGTGAACGGCGGATCATCGTCAGCCTGCACCTGATACTCGACGAAATTGGACTGCTTACTCGAATCCCGGCAAACTCAATCGAAGGCAAAGCAGGCGGTCAGCCAGTGGTGGTGTAGTGTCTGTGGTGTGTCTGAGGCCTGTGTGCGAGGTGTGTGTGGTGGCGCAAGGCGCACACCCACTTTATTTCGCGTCGTCCCGAGAACGTGTGGCATTTTGTTTACAACAAAAGAACAAAAACAAGGAGGGAAAGCAAACTGTTGTCTAAACATCAAGATGGTCGGGAAAATGCTCTATAAAAGCTTGGAAAAATGATTGAAATTATGATGATTAAATGAGTTTCGGATTCAAAGAGGACTTCCCCAAAGACAAAGACAGTTTAAATATTTGAAAAGACACCTTAGTTAATTAATTAAATGATTTGGGTCTATCAGTTGTTAGCGAACTATTTATGAGAAAATATTATTTTTATTATACTTTTTAAGAGCCTTAGATAAAGCCCACATATCGTAGTTTACCACACCTATATTTAACCAACAATAAACTTATCACAAAGTTTTAATATTCAAGATAAATGATCTAAATCTTGCCAAAGGCCCGAATAAAAGCTTTCCCGGATATTGTTCTATTTCATAATTAGCCCCTTAAGAAACTTATAACTCGGGTGTTATAGTGTCTCCAGTATTCACTATTTTACTTAACTATTGGAAACTATTCGCGCACCGGACATTGTATAGACGGAGGGATGGAAACAGCTACGGATACAGATACTCGGGCCGATAGAGCGATACGGATAAAGTCAGCTCATTCTCAATTGCGTCATTAACTGAACATTTCTTGCGTGCCACTTAGTAACTCTCCGCTAATCCCAAACCCAGCCCACACAGAGAACGTCACAAAGTCACAAAGGAGAGTCTCTCGTGAGGTGGATATTCGGGGAATAGCTTATGATAGTTATATTTTGGCTTTGAAGCAAAAATTCATAAAGCTAATAAAAGGAGAAGGGGGACAGGGAAACGAAAATGGTTGACAAGTATAAAATCTATAGAATTGTTATTTGTGAGAGTCAATTTCTGGAAGATTTTCTTTCGAGTAGAATCAGTGCGCTAGTAGTAAAGATCGAAATAGCTAAGGCTTTCGAGAAAACAGAATGAAACGTGGAAAAATAAAGGCAAATTCTACACTTTTCTACTGACATCATCTTAGTTTATTTAACAAACTTATACCTATTATACTGAGTCACTTATAATTTATGGACTTATTTTTGAGCGACACTCTGAATGAATTATAAGATAAGTAGATATTAAAGTTTACTAAAGCGACGTCACTGTTGGCTTATAGGGTGAATCTGCAAAGCAAGGAAGGTAAATTTCAGCTTGAGTTATATTACATTTTCAATAACCACCTGAAGACTTGAGATCTCCTTTCTCATCGAACTTGTAGACGCGAGCATTGATCACGCTCAGATCTGTTTGACTTGACTCACTGTGAAAGTAAGAAATATAAAACGTAGTTTTTAAGTTTCATTTTCCCATTGAGTTTAAGTTAACATACACATTGATGGCCCACCACGATTTCACATGCAAGTTCTTGCCAAGTAACAGAATAAATCCGGCTATGGCCAGTCCCAGGATGCAAATGCCACTCCAGAAGTCTATGATAAAGAAATGCTCCCTTACTCTGGCCATTATGTAGACGATAATCTCACGGATCCACACGGCAAACACACCTACTATGTAGGCACTGAAGGCGTAAAAACTGAAAGGAAGAGTCAATAACTAACAAGGATGAACTAACTAGCACTAGAGATCAGCGCCTACTGGGTTTTGACGATTCTCAACTGTGTTCCCAATATGTACTGAGTGTCCGGCAGGAGTTCGTAGATGGAAAAGTAAGCCTTAAGGCAGCACACAATGCTAAAGCACAGCAAAGTGGTAATGGGCGCATAATAGTAGATCAGAATGCCCCAAAGACGAACTGAAATGAAAGGAATAAGTAATATTTCACATACGTTAAACGCATTAAAACCCACCATCAAACCAGCAGTAGTCCTCGCCAATGCCTGGCTTGTAGTGCTTGGGCAGCTTGGAGTCCTGGACAAATGACACGAGGAACCGAAGTCCCACCACAGCCAAGACTGATAAGCCATACCACAGGCGACGCACCCAATTTCTCACTGCCTTCTGTCTAAACTTGAGTAGGAAATCGAAGCTGCAAATGGCCAGGAAGACGAAGGATAGCAGGACGCAAAAGTAGGCCAGGAAGCCTGAGTGGATTAAGATAACTTTGTTAGGGAGGATTGAGGATAGGGCCTCTAGCAGTCACCTATATTCCTGCAGGAAGCATGCGTCAGTTTCATGGGATTCTTGAGGGCCAAGTAGACCAACAGGGAATAGCCCACGATGAGGGAGAGGAGGTAGTAGATGATCAGCTGGCCATAGTGGCTCTTCCGCGCATCCCTCACCGAGCCCAGAAGCGACAGGATGAAGATGTTTATAATTATGGCTATAATACTACCTGAAAGAATATTACGAAACGAGGTTACTTTTGGATAGCAAGGAGGCAACTACTCACAAATGGCGTATATCCACACCCGGTAGCCTGTCTGGAAGCGCTCGCAGTTGAGCGGCGTAAGCTCCCACTCTTCCGGCTTGTGCTCCAATGGAGTGAAGCAGTACTCGTCCGTGGTCCACAGCCGGTAATCCCTTTTAAGGGAACCATTCTCGAAGAGATCCCACTGCCAGAAGCTCTCGTGCTTCCTGTCCACGAACTTGTTCCGACATCCAAGCTCCGTGCGCACCACAAATCTATCCAAAATGCGCACCTGCTCCACTGACCTATTGTTGCTGTAGGTCAGCTCGACGTGAGTAGACTCCCTTATTCGGTGGGGCCTAGAACAGTTCCAGTTCTTGGCATCAAACACCAGATCCGGTGGGCAGCAGAAGCTGATGCAGGGCTTCAGCAGGCAGACACAGCCGCGTAGATGCCTCTTGGCCCGGTACTCCACACCGTCGATCACCTTGAAGCTGTACTCGGCCATCAAATGGGGAGGAATCACCACTCCGGCGTAAGAGTAAGAGCCGTCCTTCAGCCGCAATCCGTCTGTAATGTTGACCGTGTTCGCGTAGGCGCAGGGGTGATCTATGCTAGCGATCTCCAGTGATCGCACGCCCACGGATAAAACCAAGCCTAAGCCTAGGGTGATGATCCAAGACGACGCCATGGCTCGTCGTGACGTCACGGAGCTCGATAATGAAATAAACAAATAACCGAAGCGATGATCGCCGTCGTATTTTCTTTATGCAATCCAAGCACACTCGCGGAATCCGAATCCGAGTCCACAACAATTGGAACCCAAAAACTGACGAAGGCAGCGACGCTGTCTAAAAGCGTCTGTGATTGCGACAACGACAGCGGCGACAACGACAAAAGAACAACTATAAACAACGATGGATGGACTGCGCTCTCTCTTTCTCTCTCTTAGGCATGGCATTGGCAACCGCAGTGCCGCTCCATGCTGGCCAAGAATAAAAAACAGACTAACTGATTAGCCAGCGAGCTCCAAAACCAGACACGACCACAATCGGCAGAGCAGAGCAGCAACAGCAGCAGCAGAAGCGGTGGGGACCAGTCACTGCTCCATGCCCAGGCCCCTTCGCTCTTCCGTACGTGTGGAATCCCAACCAGCGCAACTGGCACATCCAAAATTCATTTTTTGATAGGCAACGCACCGCACGAGTGCTGTTGAATCAGCTATTTCCAGCCATTTATAAGGTAATTCCAGTGAGTGAGCTTAAACAAGTGTTAGTTTTTTTTTCAATTAATTAACGAAGAGACTAATATTATATTCAATCTCATTGTTTCCAAAGTAAAACTACCAGATCGGCATGATACAAAATTATTTTCTAAAATCAAATCTCTCTGCGACGTGAAAAGGAAAATTATTTTTTTGCCATTTTTTCAAAAATATTGAAATTGTAAAAAAATGATAAAAATTTTACAATTTAAAAAATTTCAATTTAGGTATGCAGATTTGTGAATCTATTCAAAACTAGCAAAGAACAGGCTTCCGAATGGAAATTAATGAATTTTTGGCTTAGTTATGATATTTTTAAGCTTTGTTTTGTACCCAAAATTGTGTTATAAAATAGAGAAATATTGACATAGACAGGGGTTTATAATTTCAGTCTGAAGCTTGGCAGGCAGTGAAGGATTCATTTCCGACCCCATAAACCATATATATTCTTGATCAGCATCAACAAGCGAATCTTTCTGGGCATAAAAGGAAGAAACAAATTTTTTGTAATTTTTTCAAAAACTTTTAAGGGGTTACATCGTAAAAATTGTTAAAAATTGATCAAAATTTCACAATTTAAAAAATTTCAATTTAGGTATGCAGATTTGTGAATCTATTCAAAACTAGCAAAGAACAGGCTTCCGAATGGAAATTAATGAATTTTTGGCTTAGTTATGATATTTTTAAGCTTTGTTTTGTACCCAAAATTGTGTTATAAAATATAGAAATATTGACATAGACAGGGGTTTATAATTTCAGTCTGAAGCTTGGCAGGCAGTGAAGGATTCATTTCCGACCCCATAAACCATATATATTCTTGATCAGCATCAACAAGCGAATCTTTCTGGGCATAAAAGGAAGAAACAAATTTTTTGTAATTTTTTCAAAGAATTTTAAGGGATTACAGTGTAAATTTTTTTAAAAATTGATCAAAATTTCATAATTTTAAAAATTTTAATTTAGGTATGCAGATTTGTGAATCTATTCAAAACTAACACAGAACAGGCTTCCTAATCGAAATTAATGCATTTTTGGCTTAGTTATGATATTTGTAAGCTTTGTTTTGTACCCAAAATTGTGTTATAAAATAGAGAAATATTGACATAGACAGGGGTTTATAATTTCAGTCTGAAGCTTGGCAGGCAGTGAAGGCTTCATTTCCGACCCCATAAACCATATATATTCTTGATCAGCATCATAAGGCGAATCTTTCTGGGCATAAAAGGAAGAAACAAATTTTTTGTAATTTTTTCAAAAACTTTTAAGTGGTTACATCGTAAAAATTGTTAAAAATTGATCAAAATTTCACTATTTAAAAAATTTCAATTTAGGTATGCAGATTTGTGAATCTATTCAAAACTAGCAAAGAACAGGCTTCCGAATGGAAATTAATGAATTTTTGGCTTAGTTATGATATTTTTAAGCTTTATTTTGTACCCAAAATTGTGTTATAAAATAGAGAAATATTGACATAGACAGGGGTTTATAATTTCAGTCTGAAGCTTGGCAGGCAGTGAAGGCTTCATTTCCGACCCCATAAACCATATATATTCTTGATCAGCATCATAAGGCGAATCTTTCTGGGCATAAAAGGAAGAAACAAATTTTTTGTAATTTTTTCAAAAACTTTTAAGTGGTTACATCGTAAAAATTGTTAAAAATTGATCAAAATTTCACAATTTAAAAAATTTCAATTTAGGTATGCAGATTTGTGAATCTATTCAAAACTAGCAAAGAACAGGCTTCCGAATGGAAATTAATGAATTTTTGGCTTAGTTATGATATTTTTAAGCTTTGTTTTGTACCCAAAATTGTGTTATAAAATAGAGAAATATTTACATAGACAGGGGTTTATAATTTCAGTCTGAAGCTTGGCAGGCAGTGAAGGCTTCATTTCCGACCCCATAAACCATATATATTCTTGATCAGCATCATAAGGCGAATCTTTCTGGGCATAAAAGGAAGAAACAAATTTTTTGTAATTTTTTCAAAAACTTTTAAGTGGTTACATCGTAAAAATTGTTAAAAATTGATCAAAATTTCACTATTTAAAAAATTTCAATTTAGGTATGCAGATTTGTGAATCTATTCAAAACTAGCAAAGAACAGGCTTCCGAATGGAAATTAATGAATTTTTGGCTTAGTTATGATATTTTTAAGCTTTATTTTGTACCCAAAATTGTGTTATAAAATAGAGAAATATTGACATAGACAGGGGTTTATAATTTCAGTCTGAAGCTTGGCAGGCAGTGAAGGCTTCATTTCCGACCCCATAAACCATATATATTCTTGATCAGCATCATAAGGCGAATCTTTCTGGGCATAAAAGGAAGAAACAAATTTTTTGTAATTTTTTCAAAAACTTTTAAGTGGTTACATCGTAAAAATTGTTAAAAATTGATCAAAATTTCACAATTTAAAAAATTTCAATTTAGGTATGCAGATTTGTGAATCTATTCAAAACTAGCAAAGAACAGGCTTCCGAATGGAAATTAATGAATTTTTGGCTTAGTTATGATATTTTTAAGCTTTGTTTTGTACCCAAAATTGTGTTATAAAATAGAGAAATATTTACATAGACAGGGGTTTATAATTTCAGTCTGAAGCTTGGCAGGCAGTGAAGGATTCATTTCCGACCCCATAAACCATATGTATTCCTGATCAGCATCAACAGGCGAATCTTTCTGGGCAGAAAAGGAAGAAACAAATTTTTTGTAATTTTTTCAAAAACTTTTAAGTGGTTACATCGTAAAAATTGTTAAAAATTGATCAAAATTTCACTATTTAAAAAATTTCAATTTAGGTATGCAGATTTGTGAATCTATTCAAAACTAGCAAAGAACAGGCTTCCGAATGGAAATTAATGAATTTTTGGCTTAGTTATGATATTTTTAAGCTTTATTTTGTACCCAAAATTGTGTTATAAAATAGAGAAATATTGACATAGACAGGGGTTTATAATTTCAGTCTGAAGCTTGGCAGGCAGTGAAGGCTTCATTTCCGACCCCATAAACCATATATATTCTTGATCAGCATCATAAGGCGAATCTTTCTGGGCATAAAAGGAAGAAACTAATTTTTTGTAATTTTTTCAAAAACTTTTAAGTGGTTACATCGTAAAAATTGTTAAAAATTGATCAAAATTTCACTATTTAAAAAATTTCAATTTAGGTATGCAGATTTGTGAATCTATTCAAAACTAGCAAAGAACAGGCTTCCGAATGGAAATTAATGAATTTTTGGCTTAGTTATGATATTTTTAAGCTTTATTTTGTACCCAAAATTGTGTTATAAAATAGAGAAATATTGACATAGACAGGGGTTTATAATTTCAGTCTGAAGCTTGGCAGGCAGTGAAGGCTTCATTTCCGACCCCATAAACCATATATATTCTTGATCAGCATCATAAGGCGAATCTTTCTGGGCATAAAAGGAAGAAACTAATTTTTTGTAATTTTTTCAAAAACTTTTAAGTGGTTACATCGTAAAAATTGTTAAAAATTGATCAAAATTTCACTATTTAAAAAATTTCAATTTAGGTATGCAGATTTGTGAATCTATTCAAAACTAGCAAAGAACAGGCTTCCGAATGGAAATTAATGAATTTTTGGCTTAGTTATGATATTTTTAAGCTTTATTTTGTACCCAAAATTGTGTTATAAAATAGAGAAATATTGACATAGACAGGGGTTTATAATTTCAGTCTGAAGCTTGGCAGGCAGTGAAGGCTTCATTTCCGACCCCATAAACCATATATATTCTTGATCAGCATCATAAGGCGAATCTTTCTGGGCATAAAAGGAAGAAACAAATTTTTTGTAATTTTTTCAAAAACTTTTAAGTGGTTACATCGTAAAAATTGTTAAAAATTGATCAAAATTTCACAATTTAAAAAATTTCAATTTAGGTATGCAGATTTGTGAATCTATTCAAAACTAGCAAAGAACAGGCTTCCGAATGGAAATTAATGAATTTTTGGCTTAGTTATGATATTTTTAAGCTTTGTTTTGTACCCAAAATTGTGTTATAAAATAGAGAAATATTTACATAGACAGGGGTTTATAATTTCAGTCTGAAGCTTGGCAGGCAGTGAAGGATTCATTTCCGACCCCATAAACCATATGTATTCCTGATCAGCATCAACAGGCGAATCTTTCTGGGCAGAAAAGGAAGAAACAAATTTTTTGTAATTTTTTCAAAAAATTTTAAGGGGTTACATCGTAAAAATTGATCCAAATTTCACAATTTAAAAAATTTCAATTTAGGTATGCAGAGTTGTGAATCTATTCAAAACTAACGCAGAACAGGCTTCCGAATGGAAATTAATGCATTTTTGGCTTAGTTATGATATTTTTAAGCTTTGTTTTGTACCCAAAATTGTGTTATAAAATAGAGAAATATTGACATAGACAGGGGTTTATAATTTTAGTCTGAAGCTTGGCAGGCAGTGAAGGATTCATTTCCGACCCTATAAAATCCAACCCAGAATTGAAAAGATAAAAGCATATCCGGCTTACTTATCGATTGCGCATTTCCAAGAGCCTATGGGTAACTTCACGGGTATACACATTTCGACTTCCCGAATTTAGTTTCAGTTTTTATAAAGAATTCGGCTACTTTTAAAAAATCTGTCAGAACCTCCCAAAAGTGTATGTACAGGTTAAATCTGACATACTATATTAGTGGTGCGTGCACTCGCTAATAATTCCTAACGATCAGATACATTTGACATGGTAAATGTCCCAGATAAATATATTCGATTGATACTATTTGTTTTTTATAATTAGATAATTTTGTTTAATTTTCACACCTTAATATGCAATTGCTTCAATGAAATGGCCTTAACACTCCAAATTTGTTTTTATCTTTGGCTTTATTAAGCTTGACATACAATAATAATTTCTCGTAATTTTTATTTTACCAATATAGATAGCATATTTATATATATGTAGACATAGATAATGGGTACGCATATGCAGATAGAGAGAACGATATAAAAGATGTATAAATCTGAATGTTTTCAAGGCATATCTGTGTTACATATGTACGTACATGCAGGTGGTTTATCTTTAAGACCTGGACTTGATTTGATCCCTCTTAGCTGGTTATAATTTCATAGGCATAAATATACTAGATATGGCGCTGCTGCGTAGGGTAAGGTGCTTATAGAACTAATCAGGTTGTTCGTGGTGGTCACATGACATTGACAAAGAGAGAGAGAGAGTGAGAGAAAGGGGCTTTGAGGATGGTTTTGGGGTAGTTGGATGTATGGATAGGGACTTTCTCTTATAGTAGTGTCTTTTCGTAAAGTTCTATCCGAAATATGGCTGATGCTGACACAGTGGGAGCTGGTCCTCGGAATGGGTTAGGATCTCTAATTCGATCTCCCTTCCTTAACTGGACTGGACACATATTCCCAGTGTGGTTTATTCGATGCTCTTCGGCCGAAGGCTGCTACTGACTCCGTTATGCTCAGCGAAAGATGGTGGTGCTTCTCTGAGGATCAGTGACCATCAGCGGCTTCTCCGCCGCCGACGAAGGCTTCTCGTGCAGCGACAAGTTGGCCACGCTGCTTGACGTGGTCTTGGTGGAGTACTGGCTCTGTCGCTGGTTGCTGCCATCACGAGCACTAGAGCACCTGAGGCACGGGGATCGTCACGATGTCCATTGCGTGGGCAGAGTGGAATAAACAATGTTGAAAAATCTGATTAGAACGGGGTTAATGGATTACCATAGTTTGTTAGATATATAGAAATACGGAGACCCAGCACCAAGACATTTAAGGAGCAACTCACTATGATAAGGTTAAAGGAGGTTAAAGGCTAGGGGTTAGAGCTAGTTTTCAACTAGGCGGTTAGTTACTTTCTCATGGCGAAGGCAGTGGCAACTTCTACACTCGGTTTTACCTGTGGCCATTCTGTTTAGATGGCCGTCTTTGGGCTGGAGCTGGCCTTGGGTTTCTCGACAGCCCTTAGGGGCAGCTTTTTCGGCAGCACATTGGAGTCGGAGGCGATTGAGGTCGACGTGGTGGTCGAGACGTTGGGCGAGTTCACTCCATTCGAACGTCTCTTCTCCAGGAGTCTTTAGTGGTGACGATGATTTAGATTCGATGAGAAGGCACATCACACACATACATATATGGACACACATTATAGACGCAAAACATAAGTAGGTGTTGGGTTATGACGTGGTTACAAATAAGTAGGCTTGGCTACTATGCATAAGGGTCGGATTGGTTCTTATGGCTTGAGTCTGCAGTCTAGCTTTGGGTAGCTGGAGATTCGGGTTTGTGTTGTTGGTTGTCAGTGTTGTTGTTGTTGGGGTTTCTAGAATTAGTCGGCTGGCTGTTTCTGTTGGAGTTCTGCTTGAGGTTAAGCAATATCGAAAGCGGTCTGACAACGAGATAAGTACAACATAGAGGGGATATATAAACAAGGGCTACATCAAAAACTCTCGGGTCTCTTCAGTAAGTGAACTATGCGGCAATGCATTCCTTAAATCCCTGGGGTTCTTGGATTAATTTTGGGAGGTTGACTACTCTTTGGAGCTTCTCAGATATACCATAATACAAAACACAATTGCAAGGCTGATCTTCAGCTAGTAAAGGTTAGTCGGAGGCCACAACAATCGAGCAGTACAGGACCTACTGCTTACGGAGAATTCGCCTCAGACATCATGGGAGTGAATCCCACTGGCGGTGGAGCCATTGGCGAAGGCATTGCGGATGACTACCAGTTTTCGGATCTGGCTGGAGGCTTCCTTGAAGCGCTGCTTCATCGAGATCGTGCTCGGACCCATCGTAACACTCTCAGTCTGCCGTAGACTGCGCACCCGTATTGTTCTGGGAATGGTCGTCGGGTTACAGATTGGACAGTTACACAGGGGAACAAGGATCGATGACTCATCACTCAGGATTGGTAGGGAACGGGACGTAACATAGGCTCTGAAACAGAACTAGACACTCACCTGTTGGTTATTAAGTGCTTGACCTTCTTCTTCATCACGAACAGCATAAAGATAAGGAAGCCCTGCATGGCGTTGGCCAGATCAGAGATGTAGAAGATCTTCGACCAGTTTTTATCGGCTCCCACAAAGAACGAGATCAGCTCCGAGAGCCAGGTGACGCCCATGATGAGGAAAAGCCGCAGGAAAAGGCCGAACCTAAGGGAAGACAAGACGCCACGGGCTCTCCTTAGGTGGGAGTTGGATAGAAAGTACTTTGAAGACTGCACTCACTTGTCCTTTTCGGTCCGCAAGTTCTTTGTGCTGTTTTCGCCAGCTATTATCCTGGCCATTTCCCGCTGCACGCTGTGGATCTTGATGGCTGTCATCACGAACATGATTGTATTGGCCACGACGATGACCAGTATGGGTCCGTAGAAGTAAATCATGGCCGACCAGTTGGTCATGTCCAGCCAACAGAATGTGCCGTCTCCGATGCCTGGCTTGAGGTAACTCGGCCAGGAAGTAAATTCCTGGGCACTGAAAGTGAAGGCTAGAAAGACCAGGGCCAGACCCCACGAGTACAGGGAGTAGATTAGAAAGCGCTTCTTCTCCTGGAACCGGTTGATACCCCTCGTGCCCCGGAAGTTGTGCCACAGATCGAAGCTGATGATGTTCAGCCATAAGTAGGCCGCCATGAAGGAGAAGTACGATGTATAGCCAAAAGCCTTGCATGAATTGCTGCTCGGATCGAAGTTCTTCTGTAGTTGCACAAAGGTCAGCGAGGAGTAGCCGACGGAGAGACCCACCAGGTAGCAAACCAGGCTCTTGCCATGCTGGTTCCTCAGCTCGGGGATCAGGAGGTACACGGCGATGGTCAGCATCATGAAGGGAATGGAGAAGAGCATTGCTGGAAGGACAGGAAAAGATTAGTCAAGGGTAATACGTAAGCGGAGGCTTCTCTGAATATTTGGCTGTGCAGTCTCTTTAACGTATTGTTTTGGATATTATTTGGCGTATTTCCAACACTTACCGTAGGCATTGATTATCTTCACTGTACTATGCTCGTCTTGCATGTCACAGTTGGCTGGGTTCACGGTGTAGTAAAGGTCCGTATCATTCACGTAGGTCGGCACCAGGCAGTACTCGTTCTTCTTGATATACCTGTAATCGTCCATCCGCAACATGGACCCGTTCTCAAAGATGAGGTAACCATCGAAATAGTTAATCTCCGGTTGCAGGGAGAACATCCTGGCGCAGGGCCGGAAGCTCTGGATGGCGAACTGCTTAAAGATGTCCACCGATTCCATGGTGCCGTTGGCAAATGTCACGTTCAGCATGGCGGGATCTGGCCAGATCCGCTGATCCAGTGGATCGACCATGCACTCACCCCTCTGGTTGTTGAAAACCTGGCGCCATGGACAGCAGATGTTGAGGCAGGGCTTGAGCTTGCAAGCACAGCCACGAACATGCAGCGGAACCTCCACCCGCTCCGTGAGGGATCGATGGATGTAGTCATACGTGCCCACCAAGTGCTTGGGTATCAGCGTGCCGTAGTAGTCGTAGCTCCCATTCTGGTAGACCGTGTGACCCGTAAGATTGACGGTGTCGTAGAAATTACACGGCACATTTGGGTCATCTATGGTGTGGTAGTGATCCTGCTCGGCCATGGCGAACACACCGAAGGAGAGGCCAGGGATCAGGCGGAATACTATTAGGCAGAGGATTCCCAGCAGGGTTACGCCACAGTAGAGGGATCCTCCATGATTTTGGATTTTCTTTGGCATTATAAAGGTTCTTAAAGTAAAAAAAGGGAGGAAGGGTTAGAATGTTGTGTTATTTGTTTAATGACTGCTAAATTGAATAAACCATAACTTATTGTAGTTCTTATATCAGATATAACTCTCTTAAGTACAGTTATTCACCGATGCAGGAACGGTACGGTAATTGAATTAGTTATTAGTGCTTTCTGTTTACCACTTAGTAAGCCAGTAATTTGGGCAAGGGAAGAGCTCATCAGCCGGGCCAATTAGTGAATCATGCACGCGGGCAACAGGTCGACAAAAGGACAAAGGAGCAGCTTTCAAGGACAGCGTCACAAGCAATTAGCAGCCAACGAGTCCAATGGGACTGTCCCACTGCGAGGAGGAAATGCTAACTCGGTCTCGCTCCCGGACGCCGTGGGGCATCAATCATAAGGCCAGGCACGCGGGGAGCGCGCAGCTAACATTTATGGATTCGTGTTAAATTGATAGTAACTGCCGTCGTCTGTCAATAGCGGTGACATCCATCCGACTTCCGATTCCACTTCCACCAGCTAGGATTACCTAGTTCTCTGGGGATGGCATTTCAAGCGCTGCTAACGAGCCGGCCATAAATTCATTAGCAATGCGATAGATAAGCCCACCCATCACCACCGTCGATAGCTATCTTATCGGTTGCATCACACCGAAGCACTGGGACTGGGGCACCTAATATTCATTGATCCCAGGGAAGAGGAGCGAGGGTTACCTAGGACGCGGGACCACGAAATTAGCATGATGGGCGATGGTGGGTGGAGAGAGTAAACACATTAAACTCTCATATAGATAGCTAATGGAGTAAATGGATACCAGGGGCCCTGGAATGGGTATAGTGGCAGCACTTATCTAGCGATAGAAAATTGGCATAATTAATAGCTGAGAGCAAACATGCACTTGGGAAAAGGGAATAATATTTAGCAGATCGAATATATATTTATACTTCTGCAAACATTGAGAGATCCTTTTCAGTTCTTTTACGCATGTTTGAAAAATAATCAAAACAAGCGGAACATTAAAACCATGAAACAATTGGCCATAAAATTGAATTATGGGCAGCGATCTATCCAATATATGGGATTCTCACTCGCCCGCACTTTCATAAAAGCAATATTTCTTTTGAAATCTCAAGTTTTTGTGAATATTTCGTGTATATTTTGATCGGCCAAACAATTATTAAGATCGAGAATTGTTTAATCCAATTTGAAAATAATTCGTAATAGCACACTGAAAGAAACTAAGTAATTAAGTAGTCTGATCAGGGCTTAAAAAGCTTGATTGATTTGATTAGATTCGGGGACCGTGTTATAAATGAAAGTAATGATTTTATTATCATTATCATAAATTTTATTATTTCTGGGTCTTTGCAAAAACTCCGGACAAAAAAGTCAGATTTCCCAAGAGGAATATCTAAAGTTGCTCTGAATAGATGAGTTTGGTAATAAATGACAAAAATTGTGGTTCTTTCCAGCTATTATTCCTTGTTCATATTATAACCAACTCTTGATGTGTGTATTTTTGCGGGTCGACTCATAAAATGACTTATTTGTGGCCGGTAACCGATAAGATAAAGTCAATTGGCCAACGGCGCTGCTAATGCCTGACAAAGAATACGAGTTGCTTATTTATTTTTCTGTATATATATATGTAGAGTAATCACTTATCGAGTTCCCAGTTCCAGTGAAATTGTGAACCATTCAATGCCTACTGCAATTACTTACAGATGCTCTACAATGCGACTCCTCAGGTTGCTGCTGTTACTCGGCTTGGACTCGTTTATTATTATCTGAATCGGTTTAATTCTGATTATTTGGGGATTGTCCATGGTCAGGTAGGATGGTCCTGTGCTGAGTTATTGACTATGGAAACTGACGCCCTGAGTCATCCGCGGGGCAAATGCCATCAGAAGCCCATTAGACTTCGGCCGAGGCAATGAAGATTTATCAAAGCGGCTCCGAACACACACGGCGTATGCGCAATTTATTACAATTCAAACAAAACAGCAACTGGGGGACGAAATGGACGCCGTCAACATATTAATATCGAAAATGACCGAACAAAACAAACATTAGCCGGCCAATCCTATTAAACTTGGCGTATGTTTTTTTACACGGAAGCCAATTTTAAAAACCCTCAAGGCACATAAATTATATTTCTTATATGTATATATTTCTTTATCCGTTTTCGGTTTCGTCTCTTTGTCTTTTTGGGTTTTTCTGTTGTTTTCAAGTGTTTTCTTATCACGTCTGCCACCAAAAAGCCCTGGGCTCTGTCTTTTATTCACTATATGCCCATTATCGAGGGTTCCGCGCGGTTTCTGGCTTGCTGTCTGTATCACAAAGTGAAACTAATCGGGCGAAGAAAGGAGGAAACCCAGCGCTTGAAGAGGGTTACAAGTCACCACACCGACTGTGGTGAACTGCGGTGGGTTTTCGGTCCAGATAAGCAGCGATTACAGAGGCGCCCCTTCACCCTTTACCTATAGTGTTCTGTGCTTTCTGTTTTCGCAGCAAACAAACACTTGGCAAAAAGCAATTTTAATGGCCCTATCCCATTGACGGTCTGGCTCTTGTGTGGATTTTCGTGAGAAAATTCCTAACTGGAGTATTTTTAGACGCCGATGCTGTCTGCGGCTTGTAAACAAAGGCGGAGGCCCCGCGTAAGAGCTATAGACGCTCTATCACTCGAGAATGGGCTTGTGGGCGGGTGGCAAGTTCGCCAAATATTATTCCACTGACACCCTCCTTATGTGCCCCACGGCGCTCGGAATGGGTGAGTGGGCGCAGGAGAGGCGGGACAGTCAACAGATCGTCCATTGGGGAACTCGAGACCAGGAAAGATAAATTGCCGTCATTGGGATATGTCTGTTCCCGCTCATTAGCCATGATGAAAGGCTCTTTGGGTTGGAGGAAAGCCGCTGGCTTGGACAATTTTGAAATACCCTCGAAAAACTGCGAAAATTGTTTCTCTCTCCCTTTTCGAAACTTTGCCTGCAATTTGAAAGAGAAGCAAAAATGTCAGTTAATAGGCTATATTTAGCAGCGATCAAGAGACTTAGAAAGAAGGGAATTTCAATAGAACCGATGGAAAAATACAGTTATACTCTGGGATTCATTAATAATCCGTGTAGTTTATCATTTCTTACACATTAAACGCACTTGGTTTTATCGTGAATTATAGCCATTGCCATAGCTGATAGTTGAAAATGTCATTAATTAAATGCAATTTAGTATGTTTCTATAACACCCCTTGGACTAGTTTCCTAGAGAGCAAAAACCATTATCTGTATCCAGGCAGTGTTTTATGGCCACCACCATCAGGTGTTTGGCAATGATCTCCAGCCAGAAGTCGGGTCGAACCATACAGCTGGCAACTTGAAAAGCATTTCACAATTAATTGGTAATTGCATTTAGAGCTTATCATGGAAGTGCACAGCGGGAAAAGCCCGATAATATCAATTGAATGGAACGCTAATCGACGCAGCTTGTAATATTTTCTAGTATTTAGATATGTATTTCTCTAATGGGGCGGGCGGGAGTGCATGGGAGCGGAATTGTTTAATATATTTTTATCTAATACCCTGGAAGTAAGACTAAAATTGTATTGAAATAAACAGATTTCAAAGCAAACAATAAACAATATTCCCGAGATGTGTTTCAACAACTGTTCCTTCGCAGTGGCCAAATGTGCAAAAGTGTAAACAAAACATTTACCAAATACGAATTCGAATCGAATAGAATTCGAATACGGAGGCGAAAGAAACAGTGCCCAAAGCGCGGCCTTCAGGGGGCGGCAGGCATTTCTACGCGTAGAATAATTGCAAAATTCGTGCAGTGACTCAATAAAAGGTGCATCGAGAACAGTTGGGTAAACATGGTCAGTGTTTCTCTCTGGGTTTTAATCAGGGAATACCGGTTAATCTTTGACCAGTACAACCGATAAAACTCTTAACTAAAGCCAAGCGTCACAACATCAAGCATTATTAAATACGACTTAATTAATGGTTTAATCCGGTAGAATCCATTAAAAATCTATTCACAGATGGACAAAACTCATAAGCCTATTATTAAATTAACGTCACCTCGTTTAGATGGCATTAATTTTATTTCGGTTTCTTTCGTTGGAATTCTTGAAGTGACACAATTCTAGAAGAGAAAATTCTTCGAATCGCGGAACTATATTTCATAGGGAATACTACTAACAAATTAATGCTGATTAAAACAGCTATTCTCATAGCAAACTTACCCAGCTCTCAGGCGATGGAGGCTATGAATAACGCCAGCAATTCAGGTTGTTTGCTGTTAATCAACAGAGTCTTCCTGCTCACTCACTTTTCAGTTTTAGGTTAATATATGACAATTGCATTTCTCGAATAACGATAACTGAGAACACTGACCACCGTCAGAGTATAGATGGCTAGTGTATAGATGGGAGAATAAACAATAAAATCGCAGTCAGAGTGTTTTGTTTACCGGTTATTTTTTACGTTGAATATGTATTATCCGAACGAAACTGGGTATGCGTTTTTAAATTCGACGTGTTTGTTTTTCAACAGGTTACTTATGCAAATCGGCTCTGGGAAGAGTCTGTGGCGACGGCCAAGGTGGGTAACCACATAAACGTTTCTCAAGAAATTAAGAAATCCTCTTTTCGTAATGGCTTCTCTCTCTGGCTCAGAGAGTCTCGTAGAAACTTCAGGTTGCCAGGGAAATTCCCCGGGAAGTGGGTGTAAATATACGAACACACGCGAACTGGTTTTCTGACGAAGTCACACACGCTAGATTACAAATTAATTGGCATTGGCATTCAGGGTTCGTAATTTCGATCTGTAGATATATCTCTATAATACACACACATCAGCGGACCTCATCCGACCGCCCACTACGGGTTTAGTATCGGAAAGAACAAAGTTGCTGCGCGAGAAGCGCTCTAGGAAGTAATAGGTCGATAACAGAGCTTTGCCAGTGCTGTTGGGGGTCTGTTATTGCATTGCTAGGCGAACTAAGATTCGAATTTTTATAAAACAGAAAGCTAAACAATGGAAGTTCGAATGAAACTGAGGTACTACCAGAGAAGTGCTCAAGTACCAGGCAGATAGGAGAGCCTTATTAGCTCTGTTAGCGCTCTGTTGGGTCGCTGATTAATAAAACAAAAAGCCAAACAATGCGAAATATGATCGAGTGCCAACAGTGGCTCAATTGTGTGTCTGTTCGCAAACAAAACAATTATCAGACAAGTGAATGGTTGTATGGATGGACATCTTGAGTGCGGAGTGGTGCCTCCGGGGAAACACAGACAGACCACGGCTGGCGATGACTCAAAAGTGTGTTCAACACGCTCGATTTGTGTGAATTAATTAGCTAAGCGCCAGTTGGAGCTTTCCCAGTTAGAGCTGCTTGAGTTCCTCCCCCAATAGATAACAGTTTTAAACAAGACTCTTTTTTGTTTTGATCCCTTGTTCGCCGTTTCAATAATATGATTATTAATAAGAAGACTATGATTAACTGACATAACTAACTCTAACTACATTATAATCACAGGGTGCTGCTAGAGCTTTGAAGTTATAGAAGTAAATTTAAATCTTGAAGCGTTGATAGATATATATCATAAAGAACATATCTCCTGCTGAATACTGAGAGTTTATGGTTATAGAAATCACAGCAGTAGCTACATTAATGAGCCATTAAAAGGAAGCCAAATCCACGTCTCAAATTCGGAAATCAAAGCATTAGCACGTAGAGAGATCAGTCCGGGGCCCCAACACTTAATTTTTGAACAGTGCGCAACGTGTATGCAATCAGGCTATATAGAGACCTGGGCAAGTACAGTAACGATCAATTATAATATAATAAATATATAGGAAAGGAGCTTCTCTGGTATTCCCTGAATACTATATTTTTCTTTTTTTTTTGCCGAACTTGAGAAAAAGACCGAAACTGGTTTTGGCATTGAGCCGGCGCGACACATGTACGAATGTACACATAACATAAAAACCAAGGGTTCACCGAAAAACAGTACAAAACAATTTATGAAGAGACAACGCGACGCGACTGTTTGTTGTGGGCGCAGATTCGGAGAGCCGAGCAGATCCGAGACATTAAAATCGCATTATCTTATATATGTACATATGTGTCTTCGCAACTCGGCAAACTCCGAGGAGCGGAGGCCCAAGACCTTGAGCGAGGAGCGTACCATAAAGTGATATTTTTTAATGACTGGATTCCTTAACTTGTTTTCAGTGCAAATTTGCTTAGTTAATTGCCCCCGATGGAGTGAATATTGCTTACAAGACGAGGGAACGCGTTTACGGCTAGATAAGCGCCAACTAGTTCTAGCTCAAATATTAAAACAGTATCCCGCGTTATCGTTTGCCGTTTGACCCGCGAACCCCGAACAGTGAACTTCTTTGGCGAGCGAATTCGCTGCGACTGAAGCCGCGCGGCGTCCCATGCTCTGCTGCTGCTTCAGCTACCAATCAGCTGGAACGGAAAAGCTGCGGCGAAAAGCAAACTATACATATATAAGGCGAAGCTTTGTCCGCTAGCCGAGAAGCACACCTCTCTGTGGAGTAGTCGCAGTCGGTGATCGGGAATGTTTATAAGGAATATTCTTCAGAAATGTCTTATTATTCTTGTTTTAATATGCCTAGAAGCCTTATAAAACAGACAGAAGGGACCATCTCAGACCTAGCCAGTAAATTAAGTGTTTCTACAGAGTCAAGATGCTTAATTTCATGTAATTTTTTTTGGACCATGTTCATTTTAATGTAATATTGCCTGAAATAGGTTCTTTAATATCTTACAGAGGTCACAATAAATATACTCGACGAGAAAGCCAAAACTAGCGTTGTCCGTTGACTGTAGCTATATATTTATCAGTGGCTAAAATAAATGAACGGGGCCCTAACTATATAATGATATAATGATAGGTATCAGCTAATAGCAAGTTAGACGCCGAAAACAATCACAAAATATGTAAACACATTTGACAGCCAATTATCAGTGCCTTTTGTTTTTCCGACAAGGTTCAACAGACATCCGCCCAGAATGGGAGGGACATTCACAGTTTTTTGCCTTTCCTTAAATATTTGTATCGACAGATTACGCACAGATTCGACCAGTATACTAATATTTAATAGGATTATAAAAGTCATTAGCTAAAAAAAAAAATAGCGGTTACTAGCCAGCTCCCCCTTTGATCCAAAAGAAAGCTTCGCTACTGCGTCCTGCCGTACATCTGACGCAGCACCGCTACCACCGAATATGACTTGCTCAGGATATTGGTGAAGCTCGTAAGGGTCAGACCCATAAATCCTCCCGCGGTGAACAGAAAGGGACGGTCCGCGTTGACCATGAAGGTGACCAGTCGCTTCCTGAACCGAACGTCGAACTGCAGCCAGTCGCAGCGGAAAGCGGAGGATGACAGCGTCTTGCTCTGTCGAATGGGGAGGGTACTGGAGTAGCAAAGACATTGGTCGCAACAAACCCACCTGCTCGAAGACTTCGTTGCCGAACCAGCAGTAGAGGAATATCTGACAGAGAACTCCGCTGAGCATAAAGTAGACAAGCTTCGAGCTGTTGGAGCCATCGCCGACAAGCATCTGGAACACCGTCATGGCCACCACCACCAGGGAGGACACGAACTGGAACATCATTGGTAGCCGGTACACCCGCTCCATGCGCTGTCGCAGCCTGAAGGTTGCAAGAGTTCAGGTAAGATTCCAAGGAGCACTCATAATCTCACTTAATAAGCCTGCAATGGTACTGGACGATCGACTGAAGCCAGCTGTGCGGGTCCACCTGCAGCCGCTCTCCCTGCGTATCCCTTTCCAAGGCATCAAAGGCCATGTTGAGCACCTTGAGGTGGAGGCAGATTTGATTCATCAGGAGCACGTTCATGTTGTCGATGGTGGGAATGCCGCAGGAGAGCCAGATCACACTCAGGCCCATGTATAGCTGCTGCACCAGCGGAGGCAGGTAACTGGGCATCTTAACACGGAACGGAAACCGTTGCCCGGCCATTTCATCTGGCACTGCCATCAAGAGTTTATCAGATTTAATTGTACTCACACCTATCCCAGACTCACCGGTAAGCAGCATAACCATGGCCGTTGAGGAGGAGAACACTACCAGGAAAAAATACATGAGACAGACCAGCTTGTTCTCCACCTCCACCTCATGGAAGGTCCTTCTTTGGCGGGCAGACAGCACACAGGTTCTGGTGAGGCAGCTCAACTGGCTGACAATCTCCTTGATCTCTCCGTAATGGTAGTAGGTGTTCATCACCTACGGGAGCATCGTACTCAGCAGTTTTAAAGGAGCATTTGCAAGCATCGAAACCCTCACCTTGACCCAATAGCCCACGTGGGTAAGTGTCATCAGCACGTTCTGGGTCATGACGTCCACGTCCGCCCAGTTCAAGATAAGGTCGTAGATCTCCAAGCACACGTAGCAGAAGAGACAGGGTAAAATGAAGGTGCTGCGGACCAGAATGCCCAACCTATGGATCCTTGACTCGGGCCTTAGGCCTACCAACGGTATTCCTGTCAGCTGAGCCAGCCACGCGTTCAACTCCAAGGAACCAATCCTACCCGCGTCCACATCGGAGGCCCATATTTGCTGGGTCAGCTCCTGCAGTCTGCTCATTTTGCTACTAGATGACACTGGCGGCAGGTTACCTTTTATAGAGCTTCCCAGGTAATGAAATTGCTTAGGGGGCGTGACTCGCAGACGGTAATTGTATTGGTTGGGTTACATCGTTTGAAACTCGTGTCAGCCCCTTTCAAATGTTAAAGAGTATTGGGGTAGATAAGCCTTACAAGGAAATAAGAAATGGTAATAGTAAAGGACGAATGCGAACTAAATGTTTATTATAGTCAAATCTTAAAATAGAGATAGTTTTTTGAAAGCTTACTGTTGTCAGTAAGTTTTCTTTATTATGCAACTGGGATACCTGGATTACAGTACACATTTTAAAAAATCTGAGAATTTTTAAATACAAATAAATAGCAATGAACTATTTAAAAAGGACAAATAAAACCGAAATATATACAGTTTTACAGTTTTTAGTACAGACCGTAAACGTCTAGCACCGCAATCATAGGAGTGAAACGGTGAATTTACCTATACCAAAGACCCATTGGACCGTCACAGCTTCTGGTTTTTCTCCAGTCGGCTGACACTTCTCAGGAGTCATTTCCGACCCCATAAACCATATATATTCTTGATCAGCATCAACAGGCGAAACTTTCTGGGCATAAAAGGAAGAAACAAATTTTTTGTAATTTTTTCAAAAAATTTTAAGGGATTACATCGTAAAAATTGCTAAAAATTGATCAAAATTTCACAATTTAAAAAATTTCAATTTAGGTATGCAGATTTGTGAATCTATTCAAAACTAACACAGAACAGGCTTCCGAATCGAAATTAATGCATTTTTGGCTTAGTTATGATATTTTTAAGCTTTGTTTTGTACCCAAAATTGTGTTATTAAACAGAGAAATATTGACATAGATTGCGTATAAACAGGGTGTTATAATTTCAGTCTGAAGCTTGGTACGCAGTGAAGGACTCATTTCCGACCCCATAAACCATATTTATTCTTGATCAGCATCAACAGTATCTGGGCATGTGTGAAGGAAAAAAATGTTTCACTTTTTTTTTTAAATAAATAATAATAAATAAATCAAGAGAGGTATTTTAAATATTAATTGTATTAATTGCATTAGTAAAGGGAAATTACTTCGTCTTCTTATGTCTACAGTAAGTCTATTATAAAACTCAAGTGTACATATAAAGGCTTGTATATACCTAAGAAATACTATATCATAGTTAAGAGAGATTCGTACATAAGATTGGCTGATCCTCATGTCGTTTTCTGTGCCTCCTTACTCTCGTGGTTCCTCCGTTAAGGATTCAACTTGCATTACCGATTGTTTACTTGTTGAGTGTGCCACCTACATCAAGGTTCTTTGGTGTCGCAATAGCAGTAATTGGCAGTTGGTAGACGCTATACCTGGGATGAGTTCAGCTTATGGGTAAATCGGCCAGACGAACATCCAGCTGTGTATGATTTTGTGCTGTTAGCGCTCCATTTATGCTGTTTCATTGGTCTGTGGAGACAAAATCTATATTAATATGAAAGAAAAATTAAGGAATTCTCCAACGTGCAAGTTTGAAGGAAGGAACATAACAAGGCACAGGGCAAAAAAGGCATGGCAACATAAAGATGGTCAGAAAAACCATAAGTGCATTCAATCATAAAACCCAATATTTAGTCACAGTAGTAGGAGTAGCAGATAGTACATTTTCCATCACCAAGTTAGAAGTTAAAAGCAGTTCAGTACAGATTACCTATTACAGGAGACTTGGAGCTAATTGGGTCTCCTCGAGCGAGATCTCTTCCCCACTGACGTCGGCCTCCGCTTTCTTGCTCTTACCCCTAATGCTGCTCAGGCAAGGATTTCAATGACACAACATTACCCGAAGGTTACTGGTTACTCGAGCTTCTGACATAATCTACTCAGACTACTCACCGGTCCATACAGAGTTTCAGGGTGCTGCGCTTCAGGACGAACAGCACGAATATGATTATGCCCTGCGACCAGTTGAAGTAGTCAGCCACCTCGAAGACCTTCCTCCAGAATTCGTTGTTCTGCACCAAATATGAGATTATTTCGAGGCTCCACGACATGCCCATGATGATGAACAGACGCAGGAAGAAGCTGTAACTGTATGATGGATTAGAAAAGATCCAGAAAAGATCTTCGATCCAGCTTACGTCTGTTTTTCCGAGTTGAGCTTTTTCTTTCGCTCCTGGCGTTGTGTGAAGGTCTTCAGCTCCTTCTTCACCGCTACGATTCGAATGGCCGTTAGGATAAACATGGTCATGTTAAAGGCGATCAGCACCAGCATGGGTCCATAGAAGTAGAGCATGGCAGACCAGTCAACAGCTGAGGGTGGCGGCAAGATTGAAAGCTGAGCTCAGTCCCTAAAATCGGAACCAAACTCACTATTGATCCAGCAGCTGTAATATCCCACGCGAGGCATCCAGTCCTCGTTCTCAGGTACCCCTCGTTCTACAAACGTGTCCACCAGGTAAATGATTACGGTTAGGATCGCCGCCATGCCAAAGGCGTATGCGTTGAAGGCCAGGAATAGATAATTGGGCAGAACGTGATTGTGAGAGCTGGAGCTGCCGCGGAACCCGTTCCACAGGTGCAGGCTGATGACGGAGAGCCAAAAGAAAGCGGCCATAACGAAGAAGTGGCCCAAGAAACCTGCCAAAGATACATGACTTTGTCAGGTCTGAGTTCAGGTTCTCTCAAAGGTTCAACTCAAAGCACCTGCCGTGAGGCAGAATCCTTCCGACAGATCCCACAAGTCCAACAGAAGGATAAAGTATCCCATGAACAGGCAAACCATGTAGCAGATAAAGCTCTTTCCTTGTAGATTCCGGTGAAGCTTCTTAACGCACAGGTAGACGCCGATGGTAAGGATCATGCATACCAGAGATGTCATCATCACTGCGAAAAGAGATGGTAGAGATGGTTTTAAGCTCAGGCAGTGTAGAGGACAGGATAAGGCCAGGAGAAAGTGGCTTGTGTATGCCAACTTAACGCATCTTATTCTCTATACTGTCTTTTGTTGCTTAACTTTTAAATTCCCACGTCTTACCTACTGTTTGTCCAGTCTTTGGCTGCCGTATCAAACAGTTGTGGGGGACGATGCGTATGGGGTCTGGGTCGTTGGCATCGAGCTGATTGTGCTGGATGCAGTACCCGCGCTTGTTCATTGCTGCGTTGTCCATGTGTCGCAGGAAGGTTCCGTTCTGGTTGACAAAATATTAAGGTTAACCAACCCGGAATGGAAAAACACTAGACTCACCTCATACAGTGTGTACGTATCGCTCTCCCTCCTGTTGTCCAGTGGGTATAGGTCGGTACAGGGCATGGGCAAATCCTTCTGGAGAATCAGTTGGGTGCGGAAGTGCCTCTTCACCACCGAACCGTCGGCGCGGGTCACATTCAAGTAGGGATCGATCTGGGCCAGTTCCTGCTCCATGGCATCGTTGCATTCACCGTTCTCTAATATCTGATCGTGACGGCAGCAGAACCGAACACAAGGCTTCAACTTGCAGGCACATCCCCGCCAGTGTCTGTCCGCCGACTCCTTGGAGTCGTCCGGCATTAGCCTGTAGTCATATTCCCCCGTCAATTTGTCGGGAATAAGAAGGCCCTCGTAGATATACGAACCATTGGGGAGCCTCTGGCTGGCTGACAGATCCACAGTGTCAAAGTAGTCGCAGTCGGGAATATCGGCAAATGTCTGCTGGAGCACCAGCACCCATAGGAGCACTGTGGACAGACGCATTCTTCCCCAAGATCTACAAATTAAAAAAATGCATTTTAATTCTGCTGAGGTTCGGTTCGCTGCAGTTAGTCTTGGAATTCATATATGTACATACGTATGTATAATATATAAACGCATACAGTGCCAATTTTTCCCCTTGTTGCATTAATTCCATTTTTCTTGGAATCGTATAAATATGTCACGCTTATTTATTATACAAGCATTCTTTTTTGAAAACAAATAACAATATATAAGTGAAAAAATTATAAAATAAAACCATTACGCCTAATGTGGGGAGCCGAAAATTGTATACCCTGCTTACATTTATATTGGTCCAATGTAAGCTAGCAAAATACATAACAAATGATCCGATAAAACGCATACATACATAGTATAGTTTATATATTATGTATTTTAAATTAACTTTAACTTAAAGGCTTCCATAGTCCTCCAGTCCAGACTTTTAAAGGGCAGAACAATACGGTTGCGACTACAAATTAGTTTAAGCACTAAGAAAACACACAATAATAATTAAATCGGGGAATCCGCAGTGTTTCTTAGGCTGTACTTTAAACGGCAAACCAACATGAAAAGCTCTGCGTTGGGTCTTCTCTTCTTATTTGTATGCATAGCTCTCTGTTCTTTCCATACAGTACTTGATGAACAGGAAAAATTTTATCGCTACCTTTTAGCAATATGAAGAGGGACTTATTCATATAAGAGCATCCGTTGACTCACAGTTTGAAATCAGGAAATCATTATAGTACGCCTTTAATTAAACTATATTCTCATATCTTGGATTCCAAGCTGTTTCATTTTATTTATTTATTGTTCAGAAGAAATTGTTATACACATTTCTCGATCTAAAGAAGTATATACTTGTATTTATATATTTAATTTAAATATTTTTTCACCAAAACAACATTATCACTGAAATTCTAAATGTGTTAAATGAGTATACTCATAAACCATATGTGCATATGTTTCCACTTGAACGATCGAATATAAAATAATGCCAAACAAGGGGGTCACTGAACCAAATTTAAATTTGCAATTTTTACGTTGGCAATTGACAAAAGGGACCTCGGTAACAAGAAACAGAAATAAAACCAAAAATGAAATGTATCTACATATATACAAAGGTACATACACACGGAGTCCAAGGATTATAATGCGCCTCCGCCGACGACTCTAAATGTACTGATCCAAGTATTAACTTGCGAATCGCTGGAGCAATGTGAACCCGACTGCCTGACTGAGAAGATAATGAAACGAGTTTGTTTGGCGATGGGGCGTTAGCCTTTTTTCTTTTTCCTTTTTATACCGTTGCAGGGTATTATAATTTTAGTCAGAAGTTTAGAACGCAGGAAGTCAAGAGTCATTTCCGACATTATAAATCATATTCATATATATAAACCGGAACATATAGCAACCATAGAAATGATCGAAAAATTTTAAGAAAAGAATTTAACTTGGCCAGTTTTGATATTCAATGGTATGTTAACTTCGGCGGGCCGAACTTTTCTGACTTTCTTGTTTGGAGATAATATCTGCCAGATATGAAGATACAATCATACAGATTGAAATCATAAGAAGCTTGCAAACGGAACGGAACGGAACGTTAGATAAGTTTTTGTTTAGCAAAGTTTCCACCCTTTTTTATTGTCTAAGTTATCAACCTTTATATATTACGGGTTCTTACTTAAATATAATTTAATTTAAGATATAAAAAAATATACATAGATACATTTCGATTCGCATTAAATTTTTTCTGATCTATATTTTTTCCTTTAAGCAAATTAAAAAAAGTTGATGTCTGCAAACATCTCACGGTTTATTTACCATTCTAGAATTCACGATACATCGATACCCCCCGAAACCAAAAGAATCGATAGTATCGATGTTGAAATGTTTTTTTTTCCCATCACTATTTCATTCGTCGTTTCGGTTTATTTCGGTTTGTTTTCGTTTCATCCGTTTTTGCGCGTACCCGTGTAGTGAGACCGATTAAATTTGAAAAGATAAACTCGCCCCCGTTAAGTTCGATTCTCGACCTAATCCGTCAGTTTTGATTGCGTTTTTTCCACTTTAAGTTGACTTCCACGAAGCGGCTGCCGCGTAAGTGTTTGTGCATATGTGAGTGTCGCTTTTTGTGTTCGTGAGCGCGTTTTTGTGCCTGTGTTTGTTCTATGCTGCCCCTTCTTTCCGAGTCGAAAGAAACGTAGCAGTTTAATAAATTACAAAAAAAGAAGATATACGAGCGAGCTATACGAAAAATATACACATATGTAATTATATTTTGTGCAAGTACAGCCGGAGACAGAGAGAGAGCGGAAGAGTGCAATAACCAGAGGTAAGTCATTTTAATCTAAGATTAGTGATTCCTTTTTATCCTTCCTTTCCGTATCGTAATTATTGTTATTCTTCGTCTTGTTTCTTCCTTCCACTCGCTTGCACCCGCACATGCCGCCTACTCGCCTGTTAGCCTCTTCCTTATTTTGCTGCAAGCGCGAGCGAGAGGGCGACACGTTACTCGTACACACACTCATGCATGCCTTGCCTGCATCTCGTAAGCCGCACGGATAGCTGTGCAATGGAGGAAGTGGCAAAGACTGCAGATAAGTGGGAAGAGGATAGTGAAGATGCTGCCGCTGCCGCTGCTGCACTCGCTCTTGCTCCCATATTCCTGTCTTCTTCCTCTGCTGCAATTAATAGTTTATTGTGTGTTTACAAATTCGTCAATTAACTGTAACTGTCATACCCGCAACTCCCCCGGCTCAGATTCACCCATCAAGTTGACAGTCATAAAACTGTTTGCTGGGCCAAACAACAATAATAACAGCTACGATTGCCCCAGTCGAAAGATGAACGGTAAAAGTAAGGGGAGCATTCTGCGGTTTGGTAATGGTAGATAAGGGGGAGTCGAGGCGGTAGGGTCATAAAGAGAGGGACAGAGAACCAAATCAGCTGAGGGTCTACACTGAGAGAAGAAATGTCAAGATATTTGATTAACTCAAATTATAAATTAGTATTCCATTAATTAGTACAAGCAGACAAATAGATCAGATCCGCTTATTGGAGCCTTTTGAAATTCTTCGTTTGGAAAGGTTCAACTTGTATGGTTTTGGTGTTTGTTAATCATTCATATGTTGTACTTGTTATGGATCTGAACATAACATGAAGGCATTGCTCATTTCTATTCGAGTGAATGCGTTCTTGGTTGTGCGTGTGTGTGTATAAGTGTCGCCCGCCCGGGTCTTGAGTTTTCCGCCGGGGACTGGGTTGCATGTGGAATACGAACACGAAAATAGCATAGGCAGAATTTTGAGCACAGAACAAACACACACGAGTTGTGCTGTGCTTGTGCTCGCTCCCTTTTCCTGCCTGTCCCCGCCCCTTCTTCGCAGAAGCAATAAAAATTAAAAGGCAAACAACGATAAGCGGACTAAACCCCGCCTTGGCCACACTAAACCCTGTCGCGGGCCACCCCTTTCCGCGGTGTCTGCGCTGGCGCACACATGGCAACCCAGGGCAACAACATAAGCCCCCGGCAGTAGCAGCAGCAAATGCATACACCAGTCGATAATTAATGCCAGGCCAGCGTAATTGATGCGTCTCCGGCACGAGAGGAAATCAATCGGGGGAGCAACCTGCTTTCCAGGCAGGCAGCGACCTAGCGAGACAGTGAAAGCCACAACCCCGGGCCCCTGACACCGGAAAATTCTATTTGAAGCCAGGCTGCGAGTTGAATTGCTGCTCCTCTTTGATACACACCCTTCGTACACAATCTTGGGGTTGCTGACCATATTTATATAGACAGCAGAAAGCTCCATTAAAAACCACTTAAAATCATGAAATTTTAGGGGGTAAATTTTGCATAATATATACACACCGTATTAAAATAGAAATTTTAATTGAAAACATTGGCTTCGTTGCATGAGATTGAAATTACAACTAAATGGTAATATTTAAATTGCATTTTTCAAAACTGAGATTTCCAGAGATATGTTTATTTAAGTTTTGAGAGTTTGCGAAATTTGTTTATTTGAAGTGTGAGACTTTGTATTCGTAATTGTTTTATCTTTATTATGAAATAGATTTAAAGTAAATTGCATAAATTGTGTTTAGCAAGCAGGATAATTTTTCATTCAGGTCATTATGGCCTTTACATTTGACTTTGATTGGCGTCGAAAGCAGGTTCGTTCTAAAAATGGAAACCAGCTTGAAGGATGTGCCGAGTAATTGAAATGGAGTGACATCCAGTTGTCCCCCTGCCTAAAGCCGGTTCCCTCCTCCATTCCCAATCCAATGAAAGCTTATCTTGTCGCCGGCTTTGTTTGGCCTAGGCTTTGTTGTTTGCCTTGCGGCTGGCGGCTGGGGGTTTCTCAAGTTACGCTTCCTTAGAAGTTCTCCACGTCTGCGGTTTCCATTACAACACAGTGTGGATCCATTGTGCTGCTCCGGTTGCCCTTGTCAAGCTCTGGCCCCTGGAATGGCTTGGTTTCTTTGATTGGGAAACAACCTCGAGTGATATGGCCCTCGACGACAATCCGCCGCCGATCTCAAGTAGCGTCAGAGGTCATGTGGTTAGATGCCCTAAGAAAGTGCTGCAGATCTCAGCTGGTTTGGCAAGAGCAACATTCCCCCATCGAGAGCAGCGAACAAAGAAAGCGTGTCTGAAATAGGCGGAAGCTGTCCCCAGCCCGTTATTTGGTCAGGCACAGAGATAGCGTTTGCATATGCAAATATGTGTCGCAGCGATTATTGTCCGCAGAAAGTCGGTCAACGAACCGAAATACATTGGAAGAAGAGGCTACTGAGCGAGCGTTCGGTCACTCCAAACAATGGCTGTGTCGTCTCGCCCAGGTGTGTTTTGACCATTTCGATTTCGATTTCATAATGAAAAGTCTGTACTACGTAGTACACTCATTGACAAGCTGCACTGGCCGTAAATGGAATCCGGATTGACCAGCGACCATGGCTTCCGCACAAATATGGTACCCACCGCTTCTGCTCCTCCTCCACGTTTCTCCACATTCTCCCTTCCCGTTCCACACGGCTCAGTTATTGTCGCAACCCCGTCACGTGGGCGTCAGACGAATGACGTAAACAGTTCTCCATTTGTTTTTCTTTTTTTTTTTAGCAATATTCCCAAAGTGTATCTGTTGTGCCCTTTTTTTTTGTTTTGCTAACCTGTTGATAACCAGGGGAATTATAGGTGGGCTCTAACACACTAGCAAAAAATAAGAAATCAGTAAAGGAGATGTTTCGAAGGATGAGAAGGTGTTCTTAAGCTTTGAAGCGAAAAAAGTCTGAATTATAAAAACCAAACATTCAAGAATCTTTAGTTTTGCTTTGGTTGCAAATTCTGTCTGGCTAATAACTTTAAAAATGTTTTTTTGTGGTTAGGCTTAAATTGGTATGTTCGGTTTCCAACAATTCTCTAAGCTATTTAGCAAAGGCCAACCAAGGGGCGTAGAGTAACCACTGTGTCTATACCATAGTAATATTATCGAACCATCGCGCTAACAAGCTTCGTGTTTACGTTAATAATTGGCACCAACTGATAATGAATCAAGGAAAGTGTCGACGACGGAACGAAACGGAACGGAAGGGCCCAAAGTCAGGGTGATACCGATCACTTTGTTTTTTAAGTCGCATTTATTTATTGCCCGTTTTGTGATAGTCTTGGACCGCCACATAAATTATCTATATGTCATCGATAATGCGCACATTTCTCTAGCTAAGTGCTAGATCGACGCTCATCTGTCTCTTTCGCCTGACAACAGTCCGGAAATGTATTATTTTTATAGAACACCGAACATATCTCTCCCTATTTTGAGATATTTTTACTACTTGCGACAATTGCGCTCTCTGGCTTTGTGAGTTTGTTAAGGAGAGTGAACAAATAATACGCAAGGTTTTTTGTGTCGGAACAAAATTTTAAAAAGTAACCAGTGAATGCCTTATTTTCATTTTCTTTTCGATAAAAGGCTTATTGCGCTTTGGCCTCCGATAACTATTGACCCCTTGGTTGGGTTTCGTTCGATCATCAACCAAAATAAGGCCGCCAGTACCTCAACGGCAATAGCTAGTTATCCCCAGGCTGATAATTACTGGCAACTGTATGAAAAACACTATTTCCCACTCTTCAATCGCTGGCCGCTTGAAGAAGCTCAACAAAAGCTGTTGTAACCCAGTTTAGAGGAAAAATACGCCAACGTTTGCGGAAAATAAGGTTGAAAGGTAAAAGACTCTTCGCGTTTGCTATCTATTTCCTTGTGTGTGTATGCACACACGGATACTTAGGACTGTATATATATTAGAGAAGAGCATTTAAGCCAATTACACGGTACATCAATCATCAGCAAAAGAAGATTTGTGGCGACTGCACTGGGAAAAACAAAGTCAGTTTAGTCACTTGAATAGGAAATAATTAATTTTAAATTGAGGATCCCCATAAACATAGGTACTAAGAACTGTTGATTTTGTATCTCTTAGAATAGCATAGTCCATAGCAGTTTTCCTAATCTCCAGGTTTGGAGATTAGCATTCGAAACTTGGTTAACTGCCCACTACTTAAACATTTAACTCGCATTACAGGAAACTGAATATTATCTCTGAGTGGTGAAATGGACAATGAGCTTGTTCCCTCTTACTCTCATATTAGCTGACTTTGCCGTATCTGCCAGTTTGACAACAGTTATATTCTGGGCTTTCCGACGACCGACCCAAGTGGTGAGGAAGAAGGTAACTCAATGGGCACCGAAGAAAGACCTGAAAGACAAATGATTAGTCACCCTGCACTTGTCGATTGTCGCCGACGACGACGACGCAGTCACTCGCTAGCCTCGCTGCTTGGTTTGTTTGTCTGGGTTTGCTCTACGTGAAAATATGCACCATCTTCTGACCGGAGAGGGGCGACATGGAAACGGGGGCTGAAAGAGGAACGGGGGTTACCCCGCTTGTTGTTAGGATGGACATAAAATAACAACTAGTCAAAATAAACATCTAAAAACGGAAGAGGAGGCTAGGAGGAACACTTATCAACTGATTGAAGGGACTTATTCACCCGCCACCACTCTCTCTCTTTGCAGTCAATCAGAGATCCAATCCATCCACATGAAAGGAAGCCGAAGGAGGCGGCAGCCAAGTTAACTGGAAACAAAACAAAAGCAAGCCAGCCAGCTGCAAAGCAAACAATAATATACACAAAATACTCTTGCCAATTTATCGAATAAACAACAGAAGAAGCCGAGCCAGAGGAGAGGCCCCATCGCAAGGAACTACTCCGTAATCAAAGCGCCTTCCAAGAAACACACGTGAAACACGTACCGTACGGAACCAAGAAAACCAAACCCGAATCCACACCGAAATCCAGTGAGCAGTCGGCAGTGCAGCATGGAGTTCGGTCATGTTTGAGCGCTTTCGACTGAGAAACCTGAGTAGAACCTTCCGCCTCCGTGGAGGCGGCACTGAACTGGCGCGCGACAAGAAGAACCCGCAACGGCAGCAATGCGTCACCGTCCTGTTCCTAGATGACATCACGCACACCTTTCGGATCGAGGTAACAATACATTAGGCCTAGAAACAGTTAAAATAATGGCCCTCGAGGGGTGACCCTCTTCTGCTTATTGCCAGACTTTCAAGCGAGTATTTTAAATGTGTTTCCTATGAGTGAAGATATTGAGTTAGGATAGGATTTCCTCTGCTGCTTCGTAGAGTTCCCATTAGCCATGTGCATATTTATTCAATATGCGAATTATACTCAAAACAAAGAAAGTTTTCGCTATTTATTTATTCACTTTTATCTGCGCACTTGAGCTCGCTTTCTTCATCTCAGACACGCACTTGTCCGCGTTTCTTCCCAATCTTCAGCTTCATCAGCGGTTTCGCTTTCTTTTCACCTCGACAATAATCAAGTGTGTCTGCTGTAGAGATGAAACTTATAATCGAGACGAAATCTATCTACAGAAATGGCAACCAAATTACCGTCGCTTAATAAGTGCAATTGCACCGCAGAAAATGCGCCATAAGATATGCTTGGCAGAACCAAAATAAACTGAGAAATTATGCCTTCCGATCGCTTTTTCTTGTAGAAACGTGCGAAAGGCGCTGAGCTGTTGGATCAGGTCTTTCAGTATCTCGAGTTATCCGAAAGAGACTATTTTGGTCTACTTTTCCCAGAGAAGCCGGACGATGTTGTGGTAAGTCTCCCTGTTAACCTCTCTCTATAGAAAACCTTAAATTCTTTTCTTATCCACCAGAGATGGGTCGATGCACAGAAGCAGTTCAAAAAGCAATGCAGCAGTGTTGGCCTGGACAACAATGCCGTTCCATTATTACAATTTAGGGTTAAGGTAAGCTCGTACTGGTCGTTATCCTTATAGACCTTATAACCTGACTCTTTCACAGTTCTTTGTAAGCGATCCGAGCCGTTTGCAGGAGGAATTCACTCGCTATCAGTTCTATCTGCAGATCAAGCGCCACATTCTGCTGGGCAAGCTGCCATGCTCCAGCAACACCCAGTGCTTGCTTGCCAGCTACACGGTGCAGTGTGAGTGCATTTATCAAATTCCTTTCATTGACTGTTTAATCTGTATTTTAATGTCTCCTCCCATAGCCGAGTTGGGGGACTTCAATGCATCGGAGCACCAGGTGGGGTACCTCAGCGGCCTGCAGCTGCTGTGCGACCAGACGCCCGAGGCAGAGCGCAAGGTGGGCGAGCTTCACAAGCTGCATCGCGGCCAGTTGCCAGCGGACGCCGAGTATAACTATTTGGAGCACGCGAAGAGACTGGAGTTGTATGGCATTGACCTCCACAGCGCCACCGACTCCAATGGCAAGGAGCTGCAGCTGGGCGTGTCTGCGGTGGGGCTTCTCGTCTTCCAGCACTCGCTCAGGATCAACACCTTCTCGTGGAGCAAAATGGTGAAGGTGTCGTTCAAGCGCAAGGACTTCTTTATCCAGCTGCGCCGCGAGCCCAGCGAGAACTACGACACCCTGCTGGGCTTCGGGATGCTTAGCCACAAGCACGCAAAGGCACTATGGAAGTCTTGCGTGGAGCACCATAGCTTCTTCCGTCTGAAGCGGCCGCACCGCCTCTCTCGCTTTCTCAACATCAGTCTGGGCAGCAAGTTCTACTATTCCGGACGCACCGAACTACAGGCAGTGCAAGAGTCGAAGCAGCGCGGTCGCATTCACAAGGTGTTTGTGCGCTCGCCCAGCAAGCGATTCGTGGCCGGAGGCGGCGGCACATCGGGTTCCTCGGGCGGCACGCCCTTGCAGCAGCACAGTGGCTCCGAGACCGCTACCTCCCACAATGGTAAACCATCCGCCGTCGCTGCTGGAGGCACCATTCTGACTATCACCAAGACGAGCGGCAAGGTCACCTCCAAGGGAACCGACTCGATGCCGCGAAAGGCGTGGGAACAGCAGAGCGACGAGTACGACATCCAACTGTGAGTTTACTCCTTTTTTCATTGACAATATGTAAGCTTAAATAAAATTGAAATCCTTTCAGCGAGGTGGGCTTCAGCGAGCAGTGCACGAGGCGCTTTGAGTCGGCCTCACCCTCCCCGTTGCCACCCGCCTATAGCTCCGGAAAGCACAGTCCGATCCTACTACCCACCACAATCGCTGACGCTGTGGGCCAGCCGGAAAGTGGAAGCGACCTCATAACCATTAGGCTGCTGGCCGACGAGCACGGCCGGTATGGATTCAATGTAAAGGGTGGCGTGAACCTTAGCCATCCGGTCCAAGTATCCAAGGTGGTACCGCACACGCCTGCAGACCGATGCACACCTCGCGTTCGCGAAGGCGACGAGGTTCTCATGATCAACGGGCGCGAGGTGCATGGCCTACGCCATGAGCAGGTGGTGGCTCTAATCCGTGATTGCCGCAACACTGCCAGTGGCGAGCTCCTACTGACGGTGCGTCCCCAGAGCTCAATGCCGTTGCATCTGGAGGAGGAGCCGATGTACCAGTACGTTCCAGAGAGCGACGAGACCGGATCGCACTCAAATTTGCTCGATGGGGACGCTCTCTTTAACCAGAGCATCCTTCTGCTCAGCGATGGCCTGGCCTCTGGCGCTCTTCTGGCGCAGTATGAACTCATGTACCGAAAGAATCCCGATCTAGCCATCACGGAAGCGCGTAAGCCGTCCAATGCGCCAAAGAACCGATACCGCGACATATCGCCATGTAAGTCTGGACCTTTACCCCAATTTATTTATTTATTTAAAGAGAGAGTTAAACTGGAATCACCATTTCAGATGACTGCACACGTGTGTCGTTGGTCAACTCGCTAACCGGCGACTACATCAACGCCAACTACGTGAACATGGAGATTCCCGGTGGTGTGAACCGATATATCGCCACCCAGGGACCGCTAGCCAGCACCACCACGGACTTTTGGCGCATGGTACAGCAGGAAAGCAGCCACTTGCTGGTGATGCTCACCACTGTAATGGAGGCCGGCCGACAGAAGTGCCATCAGTATTGGCCGGTGACCGGCGAGGAGCTACAGTTGGCCGAGGGCTTTTCGGTACGCTGCCTCAGCGAGATGCCCGACGAAACGGGCAGCTTCGTTTTCCGCGAGTTCGTGCTGAACGACAAGCACGAGCAGCGACACATCCACCATATGCAGTATCTGGCCTGGCCCGACCACTGCGTTCCCTCCGATCCCAACCTCTTCCTCGAGTTCACGGAGCGGGTGCGAAATGCCCGCAAGCGCACGCTCCTTCAAGAGATAGAAGAGAACCTCAAACAGATGCGCCTGATGAACGCGGATGCGGAAGATGACGAGAACGGAGGCCTGATGAGGGAGCGCAAGTGTGCGGCGAGCAACGGAGCCACTCCCGAAGACGAAACGCCCGTATCCACGAGTGTGCATCAGTGAGTATTCGTGAAGTATTCTCTTGAAGCAATGAAAAGATTTGACTTTTTTCGATTCACTTGCAGGTGCATCAGTGCCGCCAATCCACCTGTGATCGTCCACTGTTCAGCGGGCATTGGACGCACTGGCGTGCTCATATTGATGGACACCGCCTTGGCTTTAATGGAGGCCCGCGAGCCAGTGTATCCCCTGGACATTGTGCGCACAATGCGCGATCAGCGAGCCTGCATGGTGCAGAATGTGGTGAGTATATCCCTGTAAGATATTGGCTGGCGTGTTGTTAAAACCTATTCGTTTCCCTTCCAGAGCCAGTATCGCTTCGTGTGCGAGTGCATCTATGCGGCCTACACGAAAATCTCTCGCAGCAGTGCGGCCATCGATGATGACGAGGACTAGGACTAGAATTACGACAAGGGGACAGCGACAATCCAACCCAGCTACGCAATCTACAATCTTCCGCTTTACAACGCCCCAACAACAAACGATCCGACTTTTTCTGATATCTAATTCTATCTTAACTGTTTAGTACCCGTAGACATATGATTAAAAACAATCGTATATCATTACTATTACCAACTCTATATATATATTTATATATTGTATTATCAACTCCGTTCATAACTTACCTTTAAATATACTTCCACACATTTATCTCTGTTACACGCCGCAAGTGCTGCGCCGCAAGGAGAACGATTCTAAATTTTACAAAGCCACCACAGAATGGTAAACGAATTGAACCAACTACCTAATCGATCAAGTATACAAAGCGAAAAGGAACAAATGGAGATTTATTTACACCCAACCAACGCTTCATCGAGAACAATACGCAAACGGAAACAGATAATATGGATATGGAAACCTTATACCTTTGATAAAGGGTGAGAAAACTGTTAGTATTTTAGCACCAAATCAATTCATAAATGTATTTATGCTAAACAAAAACCAATAAAATCTGTATTAAAAAATAAAAAAAACTTTTCTACTGGGATTCCACAGATATTAGTGGTTCCACTAATATCGCAGGAAAAAATTTGGGTTGAAAAATATTGTAAATTGTTTGTTGTTGTGAGCAGAACATGGTCCCCATTCTGCCTTTAGCCGGTACAGAGGTGAATGTACATATTTTAATTTAACTCAAATTAGCAGCCGCATAAGCTTATCTTCGCTATTCTGGTTTTGGTTCGCCAGTTACTCAAAATGGAGAAGTGGAGCTGATGCCCTAGTTTATGTGAAACTCTGCTGCCTTCTGTTGCATGAAATCCTTCAGTTGAAAATGACAGGACTAAGAAGTCTTATTTTTGCTCACACAACAAACAATCCCCCGACTTAAATAGTTTTGCAAATCTAAATTAGTTTATCGATGTTTATAAGTATATGTTATAAATTTATGCATCCCTGGATGTTATCGAGAGGCAGTTCCCGAGTCAGCTGTCTAGTCAAAGTACAAACTATTACACTGCTATTTTCATTTCAAAATTTTGCTTGAATGTACCTGACGGACCAAAAACTACTGCAAACAAAAACACCTTTCCCAATATATTACGAATTATGGCGCTAAGCAGCTGCATTTTCTGTAATATATCCAGCGGCCAGGACTCGGGAACTGTTTTGGAGACCGAAACGGATGAATTTGTTATTTTTAAGGATATTAGGCCTGCGTCACAGCATCATTATTTGGCAGTGACTAAGCAGCACTTTCCCAGCCTTAAAGATTTAGACAACTCCCACCAGGACCTGAGTAAGCGTCATTGACTCGTGCATAGTTGTTTAGTAATTTGTAAAATTATTTCAGTCTCACGGCTGGAAGAGGGCCTTAGGGAGTTCTTAAAGGGCCAGGGGGTGTGCAGCGAGGACGTGTTGTTCGGCTTCCATCTCCCGCCTTTCATCAGCGTCCGCCACCTTCACATGCATGCCATTGCCCCTCGTTCAGAAATGGGCTTCCTATCCAGGCTAGTTTTCCGTCCGTCTTCAGTATGGTTCAAAACGGTGCGTTATCTCTTTACTAAAATTAGGGCCTGTCACTATCTTATCTAAGCTCTTTCACTATAGGCCGACGAGGCGCGACTGTATCTGGCGCAGAAGAAAAGTTTACAGTCGAATTGAAGGTTCCTCGGAGAATACTTCTGAAAGTGCCAATAAATAATAAATGAAAATACAAAAATAGCTTAAACTTTAAAGTATATTTGTTAAGAAACTGTTCTCGCCGCTCGCCCAGTCCAAATCTTCATACTTTTACAATAATGTCAGGGGTTGGGTTTCCAGTTCAAGTTTCAAATCAAAGCGAAGAAGCAAAGAATCTAGATCTGGCTCAAACTTTGGTTAAGTTGAGGCTGAGCTTAAAGTGCGGATGCTGAACTAACGAAGCTCTTATTTATTCCTTCTCGGGCAGAAGCTGCTGGGCCGTGGGGCGAACGCCTGTAATGGCTTCGATCTGCGAGTAGAGGGAGTCGCGCTCCTGCACCAGGCTTGCGTACTTCTGCTGCAACTCTTTCTCGCGGTCCATCTGGCGACGCACATCATCCTGAAGCGACTCTAGGCGACGCGGCACAGCGATGCCCTCCTGTTCGCCCAGGAAGCGGAATGTGGACAGCGAAACGATGTTCTGTTCGATCTGACCGTAGGTGTCCTGGAGCTGCTTGATTAGCACTTGGGCCCGCGCCTGATACCCGCCAGTAAGGATTTTGAGTTTCTTCTCGATCTTGCCGCAGCGCTTGGCCTCCTTGGCCATGTGCCGGCGGTTCGTCTCCAGGCGCTTCTCGGCAGACTCTAGCCGATCTTTCTTGCTGGCCAGATTGGCCCGTGTATAGCGGTGCTGCGAGGGCAGATAAAGCACCTGGCCGAGGCACTCCTGCCACACCTGAGCGTAGACGTCCAACGGCAACTCGCCATGCGACATGCGTTCCTTGACTACTTCCATTTCCTCGTTGAGCATCTGTCTGGCCTTGGCCAGCTCCTGCTGGGAGATGTCCTCGTAGGGATTGGCCTTGAAGTAGCTCTGTAGCTGCTCCAGTTTGTGTTGCGACTGTCCCGGCACGGGATCCTTTACCGAGTCGTACACTGCGGGAAGATTTGTGTATAGGTATGGCGACTTCATAGGGAATAACACGATATACTTACACTGCATCGTGATCATCTCATGTTTAATTAGCTCCTCGGCCTGCTGCTGCTCCGTGAGGTTCTGCTTCTCGGACTGCGGACGCAGGATCTTGGTGTTGACTTCGGTTGGCCTCGGGAGGCTGCGCTGGATTACTTGCGAGCGCTTCTCCAGCTCCCGCTTCCGACGCGCCTCCTGCTCGGCTAGCAGGCGGGCGTCGACGTCTGCTTGATCTTCAACGGCGGGTTCCGTACTGACCTCCATGGGCTCGCTGTCTTCCTGCTCTGGCACCACGATCTCGTAGTCGTTGCGCGGAGCGGGCAGAGTCGACAGACCCTCCCGTAGTGTGGATTTGAGCTGCTTCTGGTAGTTCTTGTACACGGCCGGGGTCTCGGTAACGCCCATGCTCTCCTCGGAGTTGATGCTCAGCTTATCACGCACATAAGCCGGTGTGTTGACGGTCCCAGGGGCTGCGGCACCCTTTACCGGAACCAGGGCACCAGACGAGGGCGTGAGAAATCCTCCGGGAGTGGCTGCTCCGACCTCGCGTTGCGTACGGAATGGCGTGGCAATCACCGTGTTGGGTGTGGCAATAGAGGCCGCCTTGGGCAGGACGCCGGAGAAGTCGGACTCGTGCAGCGGAGTGTTAAGACCGCCCTTAAGCGGTGTCTCCGTGTGGGTGAGGGCCATCATGTTCTGGGCCTCCTGCATGATGCGGTCGGTGTAGGGAGCCGGCGTGCGCGGTGTGGCCGTTACCTGTGGTGTGATCGAGTAGTCTGCTAGCAGGGCGTCTGTTGTCTCTATGCCGCTCTCGCCGGCGATCTCCTTGGCCATCTCGCTGGCCCGACCCAGCTTGACCACCTGCTGCAGCTCAGTGTCAGAAATCTGCGGTGTGGGCAGGACGAGCTTGGAGCGCTTCCGCTCCGGCTCCATATTCTGAAGCATGGCTGTGGGCACCTCGTTCTCCTTGCGCTGCTTCAACTTTTGCTTATCGCGCTTACGTTCGCGCTCCTCCTTCTCAGAGCGCAGCTCCCCATCCAAGTCCTGCTGTCTCATCTTGTTGAAGTCCGGCTCCTTCTTTTGGAGGTGTTCCTCTGCGGTATCGTAGAAGCCCAGGGCAGGACGCTTCTCGAAGGGAATCTCTGCGTTGTAGTCGATGCCCTTGATGCGCTTGCGATTTCCGCTTCCAATGCCGGCGGCGCGCAATTCGCGTCGCTTCTGGAGCGTGGCCAACCGACGCGCCTCCTCCAGCTGCTTCTCGCGCGCCTTGCGCTTGGCCTTCTTTCCCTGCGTATTGGCCAGACGGGCTCGGGCCTCAGACAGCATCTCCAGCTCGTCCTCATCCATATCCTTGGGATCGGGACGAGCCGGCTTGGTCTCTGGATTGGGATCAATTTCGCCCGGCTTTAGCTTGCGCGGATCATCCATGGTGTCCTCGCCATCCTCCTTGCGCTGAGCTTGGTCTCTGTAAACCGGAAATTAGTCATAATGCGATCTTCGGAAATGGGTTATAGGCTAATAAGAGACTTGAACTCACAGCAAGTACTCGTAGCGCTCCAAGCACTGGGCTGCCGTGCGTCCAATAATCGGGGCGATGGTCCGCCACTGCGTCGGCATCAGCTTGGCCAAATGCAGCAGCTTCTCATCTTCCTCGCGGGACCATTCGGTCTTCTTGATACTGGGATCCAACCACTCGTACCAGCGGGCTTTGCACTGTTTGGCGGACTTCCTGTGTAGCAGCGAGGCAATTCGGCTCCACTGGTTCTTGCCATATTTCATTACCGCCGCCTTGAGAATCTCATCCTGCGGTTGGGAGAGTCTTTAGACGTGCTGAAAACTGGAAAATGCATAGCCACTTACCTCCGTGTTGCGCCACACGCCGCCCTTGATCATAATTCGCGGCATTTTTGATTAATTTATTTAATTGCCGTCACAAAAAAAAAAACAAATATTCGCTTTTGCCTAGTCTTGCTTCCTAGAGATGGTCGCTTTTTCAATAGCAGCCGGCTACAAATGTCGCAGTTATCGACTATACCGATAAATTCAAGAGACTTGTGGCGCTGCCATACTATTTCGTGCTCGGAGGCGGCGTTGCCAGACTTTAGTCGAGTGAACAGCTGTTCTGCTATCAGTTGAAGACCAAAAAAGTTTTTGTCCCTGCGTAATGTAAATTGTAATGCGGAATTGACGGCCCCGCCACCGGAAACCCGAAAACCGGAACCTGGAGCCAGGACAACGGAGTCACCATGAGTGATGCGGCCTATCCGGGCTTCTATGGCGGCAGTAGCAGCAGCAGCCAGGTGAGCACCTCGCGAGTTCTTCTGGCCACAAAACCACGCCGTGTGTCTTCCAGCTGCACTTGCTCCCGCTGTCGCACCCCCCGCACCCGTCGCACCAGCACCAACACCAGCTGCAGCTCCAGCACCCACACCCGGAACTCTCGCTCTCCACGCCGGTTCACGCCCAGGAGCACGACTCCACGACCTTCAATGGATTCTTCGATGACGAGCTGGGGATCGGTTGCAACACATCCGTTTCCGCAGCAGCCCCTGGGAACACAGCCGGTACAGCTGTCTGGCTGCCCGATGGAGAGATAACGGCAGCGCCGCCTCCACCACCGACGGAGGGCATTCCATTTGTCCAGATCCACACGACGGATCTTCATCAGCAGCCGGAGAAGAGTTATCGCAACGCCTTTCGCCGTCGCACAGCCGAGATCAAGTCAGAGGCAGAGCTTATCAAGTCAGAGCTGGCGGAGGCCGCTGCCAAGGAGCGTCTGAATGCTACGCCTACGCCGCCCACACGCAACTCCAGCTGCCAGAGTGTGGAGGGCAAGACGGATGGCCCTGGCCCGCCTCTGATTCTGCGCTGCCCCAACTGTCCATTCCTCACCCTTTGTCAGGTGCGGCTGCAGCAGCACCTACATCTGGCCAGCTGCTACGGATCAAGTGAGCAGCGGCAACGACCATGTCCGGGTGAGGTCAAGCTCGTGTACTCCAGGATTAGCTTTTCATAATTTTAAATATCTCCCCGTCAGGCTGTTCTAACTTATTTTACAGCAGCGATGCTCTTAGCCTGCACCTCAGCCTGGATCACCAACTAGAGGACGACGAAATACTGGTACTGCTCAGCGAGAAGCCCAACGAAGTGCATGCCAAGAATCAAGCGCAGTCCCAGATTCAGGGCCAGAATATAAGCCAAAGCCAGCCCAAGAGCCGCATCTTTATCAAGAGCGTCGACTGTTTACGGGAACCACAGCAGCAACAGGTGAACGTAAACTCCCTGCCTAATTTCCCGCCCTTGATGTCAGACAGCAACTCTACCGGCAACATCCTGGACCTGTTGGAGGGCGTGGCGGTGGGCGCTTCGCCCAGCGAACAGGCCATGCCACCGGCACCTGCGAGTGCACCAGCACAACCGCCGAAACCCAGCCAGAAAATCTCCATCAAAAGTGTCGACGTGCTCAGAGAACCGGCGCTGCTGCCCTTCGACTTCCAGCTGCCGAATCATTCGCTCATCACGCCCAACAGTCTGGTAGACGTTCCCGCTGTGGGTGTGGTGCCCGAGAAGCCGCGGCAACCAAAGATTTATATCCGCAATGTGGACATCCTCAAGGAGCCAATGGTTTTGCCATCCGCCCTGCCTGGGTTGGGATTCAACGGCAGTCTTCCGGGTGCAGTTGCTCAGGGGGATCCAGGAGCAATGACAACCGGAGGAGGAGGAGGAGGTGACGTCTTCCAAGCAGATCCCCTGCTGACGCCCACTTGCCCGCTGCCGGGATTCGAGCCTAGCCTCGCGCCCTTAGTCCCAATGTGCTCGGAGGTCTTTCCTTTTGACTCAGTTCTGAGTGGGAATGGAGGAGCGGTTTCCGGACTAGACAACACTCGTTTCAGCGCCCTGGACCTTGACTTCGGCGTGGACTTTGTCTCAGACGAGACTCCGCCGCCTCCTCCGCTACCACCGCCTCTGAACGGCTCCATGGAGCCCCCTATGCCTAACATGGGGCCGCAGCCCGTTGAGATGGAGCAATACCTGGGTCCCACGGCTGCCGCTCCCATCACGACCAAGCAGAAGATTTTCATCAAGAACGTAGATATTCTAAAGGCCCCACAGAGAGGAACGCTGCATCTGCGAACCGTGGACGAGCTGAACTTGATGAACCGCACCGAGGTGGAACACCTCATAGTGCCCAATCTGGAACCTATGGCGGCCATGTCGATGATGGAGCTCCCAACCGTCGAGCAGCATCAACAGCAGCAGCAACAGCAGCCACTGGAGTTGGATCCCCAATCGCTGGGTGACTTTCAGCCCTCCATCAATGGGAGTTGGCCCAGCGAGGATGGATATGACTTGGCCGAGGACCTGGAAGGCTGGCCCTGGATGGAAGAGGCTGTGCCAGATGCCGGAGTTGCTGCACTCGCCACTCCTAACGAGGCGGCAGGAGATGAAGGTGTAGACACGCCGCAACTCGAGGGTTTCTCTCATGCTGCCGAGGATCTGCTGGTCAAGGACTTTCCGCAGCTGTATGTCTCGCCCCCGGAGGAGTATCAAGGCACAGGGGCTGAAGTAGGATCGGGAGGCGGTGCGGTTGTGCCACCTCTGGTGCCTGTCACAATATCCGGCGAAACGCCTGTAGCGGCCCAAAGCACAACACTGAACAGCTTGCCTGTTCCTCCGCTCGTGCCTTTGGCGGCGGAAGCCACAACAACGCCAGCGGAGAAACCCGCTCGCATATATGTTGCTAGCAATCTTTTGCCCACTGCCGTAGAGCCACCAATGCCTGGAGGAACTTCTGTCCGCGGGCGTCCTTACGGAGCCAAGCACTCAGGCGGCAGTGCTGCGTCAAAAAGGAGGCCACCGCAAGGCTCCAGCCAGGTGCCCGAGGGTGGCAAGTGCCAGGTGGAGGGCTGTATGTTCCGCTTTAAGTCACCTGCCACCCTAGAGTACCACGGAAGGTGTCACAACGGGCTGCCCAGCTCCAGCCAACCAATGGTTTGCCCGGAGTGTAAGTCAAGCGACTTCAGCAACTGGAACTGCCTGCACACGCACCTGTGGCGCACCCACCAGATCGACATGGAGCTGTACTGCTGTCAGCTGTGCAGCTTTAAGACCCCTATCTACTCGCGGCTGGTCAACACGCATGCCAAGATCCACTCGGAGGAGCGCAACTACAAGTGCGAGCAGTGCGGTAAGGGCTTTAAGAACACCAAACAGCTGAAGAACCACAGACGGCTGCATCGTACCCAGGGACTGGGCATGGGCAAACATGGGCAGGCCGAACAGGATCAGCAGCAGCAGGGGGTTTCCCTATCCGGTACAGAGACCGCCGTTATGATGCATCGCTGCGAGGATTGTGGCGCGGCGTTCAAGCAGCGGAAGACCTTGAGGGAGCACCTGTGCAAGGAGCGCAACGAGCAGCTTGAGTGTCCTGAGTGCCAGCGGGTGTTTGGCTCGAAGAGCAGCTTACGACTGCACTTGCGGACGCATCAGGAGCGAAAGCGATTTCGCTGCGACACCTGTGATCACGAGACGAGCGATCACAACGCCTTTCGGCGGCATCTGGGTACGCACAAGGAGCACAAACGTTACTCCTGTCCCCACTGTGACTTTAAGGCCATCCAAAGCACTGCCTTTCGGGTTCGCAACCGGCATTCTCTTCATAAACTTTTGCTTACTTGTTCTTTCCCTCCGTATAGATACACCTCCAGAAGCGCCATCCCGAGCAAGAGTTGTCCTCAATCATCTACAAGTGCGATCAGTGCAGCTTCACGAGCATCAATCAAGGCCTGCTGCAGGTTCACCAGGCCAAGCACGAAGCACCAGCATCAGCTCCAGATAAAACTCCCGCTGGAAACTCCTCACAGATTAAGGTTGAGAGGCAGTTGGTGCGCGTACATTCCAACACAAAGGTGGACCTGCAGGCTGCTTCCTAAAGAGAAGAATCGCAAAAGGCCATCTGTATATATGTTAATAGGTTTTTTTCGGGAGAGTTAACAAATACACACAAAGTGCCGTTTAGTTTTTACATTGAGACAGTTGATAAGGATAAGAGAGAGGGGGGTCTGCTCCAAGGGGGAATTCTTGGACTTTCTGTTGCTTCAGGTTTTTTAACTTAGTACCTAAAGGGTACAACGATATTATATTTTAGTGTCCGTCGATGATGTATAAAACCGGAAGAATGCTTCTCCGACCCCATAAAGTACTATCAATCATTATTGATTTAGCCATGTCCGTATGCCCTTCTGTCCGTCCGACTTTAAAAGTTAAAGCTACCAAATTTGGTGCAAACATTCAGACCCAGATCAAGTTTAATTTAAAATTTGGCCCTGACAAATCATGTAAGAAGCGTAACTAAGTTATTTGAATATTTAAGCAAAATCGTGATAAACATAGAAGTTATTGCTCAATAATATTCATCCAACACTATCTCCAGTTGTTTTATCGCAATGCCTTAGCATGACCCTCATAGACGCATATATCTTTAAATTTTGTGAACAAACTTTTGGGACGTTGCATGGTAGATTTCTTACTTGTTTTGGTATAAATATTGTAAAACATCAGTCAGTCCGTGAATTTGTATTAACCAAGCCAGCCTTCTTTCCTTCTCGATAGGGCCTCTCTCTATGCCTTTGGCCTACACCAAAGATACATACATATATACATATTTTTTGAAGCTTATTTTTCTGTTTTGTTTCTGTACATATTTACTGTAGATCCTTAAGAATCTATTATTGTACTTATGCAATGTATATATATAAAGGTTATTCGGGAAAGGTTTTGTATCAAATTCTATTTTAGTTTCTTTCCCTTAGCCTTGGCATCCCATGGATGTTGTCGTTTGACACGAATATTAGGAAAAAATACATCAAAAACGTATTGAAAATCTCAAAACAACATATATCATCAAAACCATTAGGTTTTTTAGGTTTTTAGAAGCAGGAGATCGCGGATTGATTTCATTATCCAAAACAATTGAAATACCAATACGGTATAAACGACGTCGTCTGTGTTGAGGTTTCTTAAATGTAAGGAAACAGCATTCCCAGGAATTATTTCAGCGAAAAATCTGGGGCATATGATCTTGTACATATGTATATATCGGTTAAAATGATTGACATCGTTAAATCAGTATTTCGGATAAGTATACCACATATGTAGCTACCATTGAGGCAGTCGTTAAAATCGTTCTTCCTTTACTTTTGTTTTGTAATAAAATAAAAAACTCGCTGATATATTCAATATTTTTAAGCCTTTAATGGGAGAAACTTTATGCTTTTATACAAAATTTAATTACAGTTTTTACTCTGCCTTTGCATTTTTTCCCGGTTTTTTTTTTTGTTTTTAACTATTAGATTCATTAAATATACAATAGGGAGGAAACGGAGTTAGACGAATTTTAGCAGAACTCTTAGAGATACTATAACCGAGTCAAGAGTTGAGTCGAGTCACTTCTCGTTTACAGATAAATCCTAGGACCTACAGGAGGAAGCATTTGATATGTTGTAAAAATGTCTTTAAATATATTTATATGGTATGTTAGGGATACTATATATTATAATGAGTAAATCTTATATACGCGCAGGTCTATGTATCGGTAAAACTACGATTTATTTAAATAATTAATAACAAGAGAGAGGGTTAGGCCCAAGCCGTTCGATTCGCTCTCCTCATAGCTGGGTTTCATGTTTTCAATGTTGTCTGTTTCGTGGCACTCTATGCAAGTCTTAGTTTATTTAGTTAATTTTAATTAAGTTTAGCCTTACTTGCCACTCATAACTCATTACTCTTTACTCGTTAGGTTTGTGTGTTTAAATCAATTGCGTTTTGAGTATTCTTGAGTGTAATTTCATTGGGCGTCTCAGTGTGTGGTGTGTGTTTCATAATTTACAGCCTTAAAATTATTTAACAACATTTAATGTTCCATTTAACGCTCTATATCTAGTCTAGCTCTTAAGGATTGCTAGGGGTAGGAGGGTCCAATCCTCAGGGGAGCTCCACAAAAGAAACCAAATAGAGCAAAGCTAGAAAAAAGGGAAGATTATCTCGTGGTACTAGCTCTACCCCGGATTCCCCTTCCTAGCGCTGAAGAACATCCTGGCTACCTTGCCCAGCGCCCCCACAAAGTCCCACCTATCGCCGCCCGCTGCCTGGCTCTGCCTGCCATCCTGGTATTGCTGTTGCTGAAGATGGTGGTGGTGCTCCTGGTAGGAGTGGGTCTGGCCCTGATCGTCTAGCACCTAGGAGGGTGTGGAGTACCAACCGCTGGTCGGGCTGCCCTTGTGGTAGAGATGGAAGCTCGAGTGCGGCGCAAAGTACTGCGGCTGGTCCAGGTTGCTGTAAGTGACCCCGCCCTCGGTGGTGGTGGTCGACGGGTGCATGGCGGCCGTGTATGCCTGCGGTTTTAGGGGCAACGTAGCGGGAAGTACTCCTCCGTCTCCAGATGTCGTCGCATACTGGCCACGGAGTGGATCGGGGGCGTAGTCGTAGCCACCGCCATTGGAAGTGAGCACGGGAGCCGACTTGCCGGGCTGATTGGAGTCCCGCGGGGATACTGAGCTGGGCGGGGTCATGGCGTTGTGGTAGTCGATGGAGCTGTGATAGCCTCCGTAGGTGGACACCAGATTGGTAAAAGCATCGGCAGAGGTCTTCTGGCCGCTGCCGGAATGTCCGCCAGACGAGGCGGCAGAGTGCAGCTGCAGATATTGATTTTCGTACGAGGACTCACTGCCCGGCGGCGTGGGCAAAGGTCCTGTCTGCTGGTCTCCGTAGAAGACACCAGGGCCGACACCGGTCGGCGTCTGGCGGGCTGTGGCCCGGATTACGCTCTCCCGATTCGCGTACAGCTGCCGGAGAAGCGCCGTGGCGGGCATGGGCGCCGGCGGTTGCTGGTAGGGCGTGCCTATCCATTGGATAGTGCTGCTTTTCTCGTTGGGATCGAGCTGCTGCTGCTGCTGCTGTTTGAGCAGGGAGTCTGCGCTGAAGTCGGTACTGGGGGCTGGGGCCACTGACACCGCCACCGGCGAGGGCAGGTGCTTGGACATGGCGTGCTCCAGGTCCTTAACCGCCGAGTCCGCTGCCGAGGAGGCGGGTTGCTGCTCGTCCACGATCGAAGGTAGGCGGCTGCGGGGCTGCTGCTGGTCGCGCTGCTCCATAGCCGGCAGCTTGGGCAGAGGCTGTTCTGGCATAGCCTGGTCCTGACGTTCCAGATCTTCTGCCTGCTGGGCCGCCTTGGTCTTGCGCTTCCGTTTGGTGGTTGCTCCACCGTGGCCGGTGTTGGAGGTGCTGCCTATGGGCGTGGCTGCCGCCGGCACTGGCGTGGCCACCGTGGTGGGCAGCACCCCCACGCCGGCATCGATCTCCACGCCGAGCGGCGTGGGACTATCCTTGATCAGGCTGAGACTATTCAGACTGCTGCCGTGCGAGGCCGCTGCACTGCGACCTCGGCCGCGGTGTGAATGGCCATCGGGATCGGTCTTCGGCGAGTTTAACTTCATATCGCCGGCACTTAGGTGCGAGTTGCCCTCCCCGGGGGCATCGCCACCCGGGGATCCGCTACTTTTGTCGTTGCCTAAGCTCTCCTCGTGCTTGATGCTGTCCACGCTGGGCTCCAGCTGGCAGCAGTCCAGGATCAGGTTCTCGTTCTCCCGATTGCTGCATAGGAATAAGGCATTAGTTTGGTTAACTTTTCAGGTGTTTGTAAGAGAAACCGACCTGATCACATAGTTGACGCAAATGATGTTCTGCTCATCGGCGTTCTTGGTGCTGCAGACAACGGTGGCGCAGGTCTGGAGCCAGGTGTAGCCTCCATTCTTGTTCATCAGTCGGTAGTAGCCGGTCAGTACCTGCCCCTTTTCGATCACTGTGCAGAGAGAGATAAATAAGAAGATATAATACAATTTTATGGATGTGTCTAGTTTCGGTTAAATTAAATAATACGTTTTTAAAATTCTAAAAAAACGTCAGTCCGTCTGGTAGCAAAACGAATGGGAAAGACCTAAGGGGTGGTATGATGTTACGCATAATTTTATATATATTTATAATAATTATAACTTGCTATATAAATGAAAACATCTCATTTTAACACCACTCCATTTTTCTACTCTATTTAGGTATAAATTTCGATTAAATCCACTTACGATCCGTGTGGCTCTTACGCAGGCGATTGGCATCCTCGGCGTGGCACAGCGAGTACAGGCTTTTGTTGACCAAATCCTCCGGCGTGTAGTCTAGCAGATCGGACACCCTACGGAATCGGAACCACACATTAGTTGGAGCTGCGTTAAAAATAAAGCTGATAATGGCTTACCTCGGCTCACAGTGGGCCACTCGGAGATCGAAATTCACCCGGGTCACGAACATATCGCACTCCAGCCGAATCTCATGCACCGATGGCGGAGGCAGAGCAATGGCCAAGGCCACCATTCCAAGGAGCGGCGGCTGCGACTTGCGGCTGTGCGAGAAGGTGTACTGGGGACGCAGCTTGCACAGCAGGAGGACCACCTGCAAAGGTTCCAAGAACGAGGCCAAGATATGGTTAGTTCAAGCATCTTAATCCACGACTTCCCTCATGGAAGCCAACGAACTTAACGTGGTGTGCTGAGCGAAGAAGAAGGAATTCTAAGGATTTTGGGCCAAGAAACAACTTTACAGTCAGGCAAGAAGAACTTATACAATGATTCGGGTGAGTGAAATCTTTGTTATTATTTATAAATTAATTGAAAATTGAAAATACCCTAAAGTGCGCAAGATATGTGCGCAATGCAAAATTCATTGTAAACGGTTTGTGGTGTATTGGTATAGGCTTTTTATTGTTTTTTTTTGTTTATTTTGAACCGTTTTTTTTATGTTTTTATCTTCAAAATATAGGAAATGTTCGAAGTAGAGAGTTTATAAAATATTTTAGCCTAGTGTAAAGGTTTCTTCTTCAATAAAAGAAAACTGTAGAACCTTATCGTAGAGCGTATGTGGTGATTGCGCTGATGGATGGTCTATTGATGAATTGGTGGATGATTGAAGCAGCTTCCGCACTATTTATTCGATACTGATCAATCTAAAATCAGTCAGTGGTGGCTCTGCCATTCTTTTTTTTCTTTTTTTTTTTAGCAAACACAAAAGTTATGGCCGAAATAGTTGGTAACAAACTTAAAAAACGAATTGCTCAGTAAGAAATTTTGTAATTTGATTTTGATTTGGATTTTTCTATTAGCAGTTTAGCATACAAACGTACTGATTTCAATTGATACGTACCGAATAGTTTGAGCCCGGATTCTTAACGTTTTTAGCATTGCTCGCTGAATTAGCGTTAGCATTGTTACTAGCGTGGTTGCAATTGCTCGTTGCATCGCTGGCCTGTAGATAAGCAGTGGATGGGATGGTAATACGTAATACAGAAATGCACATATGCAGGTTACACAACATAACTTCTAGGCTTCTAGGGTTAGTCTCTTACTCCCTTACACTCTACATTCAATTCAAAGAAAAACATAACTTCTCCAAAAACAACCACTATTCAGTTAGCAAAATGGCTACGAAAAATAATAATAATAAAAACAAACAGAACAAAGGGGAAACAAATAACAACGAAAGGGTATAGCCTCTTTGGGGATAGCAGAAATAATTCCTATAGGAAGGAAATGGAGGCTCACCCGATATCCAGAGGACTTGAAGTGGCATCCGCGCTTGGTCAGTGTTGACTTCATCCGCACACAGAAGCTCCGGTCGTAGCCCTTGTAGCCACTCGTCGAGGCCTGGGTCATAGAGGCGGCAACTGAAATGGGATTTGGAAGGAGTTCGATGATTATTTTTGAGCCTTGCTACATGATAAGTCTGTCTTTCTCTCTGGGTCGGAATGTCAGAAAAATAAGTTTAATTTTCTGTGTCATTCCTCATTCCTAATTATGAACAAATCCCTTTTGAGGGAACTCTAAGTCTCCCTAGCCGAATAACTATCCTCCTGAACATCCTTTATAGAGGATATCAGATTGACGACCCACCCCAGGACTTCTCCCCGCTCCTGGTCTTTGGACAACTGGGACTTGACTCACCGTCGGGATTATTCGTACCGTGTGTGCCGCTGCCATCGTCCGAGGCTCCGGAAGTGGGCGAGGCCATGCCCGTTCCCGAACCGCCGCCTCCACCGGAGCTACCGCCTCCTCCACTGCTGCCTCCGCCGCTAGTGAGGCTCAGGCCCAGCTGCTCGGCGATCTCCGAGTGATCCGCCTGGTGGATATAATCGAAAATGCTACTGCCGGTCATCTCCACCTGCGACAGACCCAGGTAGATAGACACCGTTTCCGAGATGTACAGGAAGCGCCCGTCCGCTGCAACGGCCAGGGCAAAGCCATCCAGCGACTGGAAAAGGGAGGGGTTTCTGGATTAGCATATCGTCATGATGGCGAACCCTGCGATGTGCTTACCTGCAGTATGTGGGTGCCCTGATGTTGCTCGAACAAATCAACGGCGGGACTGCGACGGATGGCGGCACCTAGGGAGAAAGTGGAGGGCGGGGTTTAGTTAAACGAAGGGTAAAAAAGTGTGCACAGGAAGAAAAGTCATTATAGTATTCTAAAGACCATCCTATAGGGTAGAGACACCTTTAAATGATCAATTTGAGAAGCACTTGTTTAGGTTGGCCAAAAATAAATAAATAAATATTTTCCCGCTTGGTAAGCATGTGTTTCCCACATGAGTTATGGCTCACTCCCAGACCTCAACCCCCTAGTTGCCACCCAAATCTCTCACTCATAAGTGATCACGCCCCCCAGTAACCCAGGAAAAGACAACAGGAACTAGGAGGATAACCGCAGGGCATCGTAAATATCAAAACGGACATTCAATATTTCCTCAGCTGATGCCCAACTCCATATTCAGAGGAGGGGGCGTATATTTATTTAATTCAATTATAGAATTTTACGATTATGGACGACGACTGACCGACCGACCGGGCCGAGTCATAATTCGCACAAGTGCAAATCGAAGGGCCCTTCAGACCATTTCAAATATTTCTACCCCGCAAATACATATATTCTCCATCTCGAACTCGAGTGCGATTCCCCAGCGACTTTGCAGCGGTCGACGCGCTAAGTTGGCAAACAGTTTCCGCTTCCGCTCGGACTCCGCCATATGTGGCCGTGCCTGCCTTAATGACCTTCCACCCCCCGAGCGGCAGCACCCACTTTCGGGCTCTTTTTTTTTGGTGTGGCTGTGGGTCAAATTGAAGTGCTTTTTATTGCCCCGCAGCTTGTTGCTCCAGCTCCAGCTCCAGCTCCTTCAGCTTTCCCTGGTTTAGTTTCGCATAATAATCCAATTGAATGGATAAAGGCGTTGCCTTCCACCGCCTTCCATACATAACGCCCCATTGATTTTGGATTATTTTTTAGTGCCTTGACTACCTTTTTGGCTTTTTGATGGCCCTGCCGCCTCACCCCACTGCCTTTTTGCTCTGACTCTGTCCGCTTCTACTTGGCCACTTTGGCAGTTGACGCACGGCAACAAAAATAAATATTATTCAATGTGGATTTAATGGCTAATTTCTTCGATGTTTTTATCTTCGAAATGTGTTTAAATATTTTTATAAATTAAAAATCGTACAGGTCTTAAAAGACGACCTAAATTGAAAAAAATTGAAACTGGCTCTTGCATCGTTTAACCAATTATTATATTGCTTTTAAGCTTATTTTGGTATATAATTTTCTGTAAGTGCACCTCTTGCCAGTTGAGTTGCCAGTTGGCAGCCTTTGAATACTGTCTGAGACCTGGCCAAGTCGTGGGCTGTCGTCGTGGAATGCCTTTTTCACTTGACGTGACAATGCATTGTCAACGTCGCCGGAGCATGACGTGGCTTGGCTCGGCTTGGCTGAGGAATTGCTTGGATGGTACAAATAGCAGTTCGAGCTGGCGACATAAATTCTGTGTTGTTGTGTTGGGCAACTCAAACCCCACGAGTATCTCTGTACTTTGCCCCAATGTTAGGCTTTAATGCGAGGCTAAGTGTCGACAACATGGCCAACTGAAAGGGGTTCTTCTTTGGGATTGAACTCATTGATTACTCCAAGGAAAAAGTTGTATAGAAATAAGCAAAATAGGATAAACTCTAGGAGCTAGCCAGAAAGAAACTTATGGCTTTACGTATATTATCCTTAAATGTTTTTTTTTTCAGTTTAGAATTATCCTCCGATAATTCCGAGTATTTTTCAAGAACAGTAATCAGTGACGACTTGCTCCTGGCAGCCAATTGATCGATCACTTTTGGGGCCTTCTGAAATTTCACAAACTGTCACACATTGTGACACACACGCAAGACTGGCACCGAAAATGGTCGCGCATGCGCAGCAAATAAAAATAAATTGCGCTTAATAACGATATTTTATGCAAATTTGGCTAAAGCCCAAAACAAAGTACAAAGGCAGTTGAATAATACGAATAACTTTTGCTGGCCAAGCCGCATTTTTAGATGCGCCTTATGAGCATAACTTCTGCCATAGATAGCTTGCGCAAAAAATGAAGTACAGCATTGATTTCACTCAAGCCAGGTCTCTCCAAACCTCCGCTTTCGGTTTTTATTGCCGCTCATTAGACCCATCCGCCTTCTCTTTTTGCCCCAACAACAACCGATCGGCAATGGCCGCCAAAATGGCGGTCGTCTTCGCGTACTGTCCAAATGCAAATGAGCCAACGGAAATTTCTCTTCAAATAAACGCTATATTTTGGTGGGGCTTAATAGTATTTACTAAATAAGTATCTGAAGTTTCCGGACTCTACTAGATTGGGAGTGAGTCACTTGAATACTTTTGCTGTTAAAAGGGTTCCATTGCAATAGAAGGAACCGAAGCGAACTTATCTTGACTCTTTAATTTATGATTAAAAAGGAGGAATATCTTTGACTTAAAACCATCATTATATGCTCAGATTTTACTTACTTTTGAGCTTACTGCTGCTTGAGGCCTCCCTTGTCCATGGCGGGTCGCCGTGTCCGGAGAAGTCCCTCAACTTCAGATAGCTGATGGTCAGTCTTATAATGGACGCCTTGTCCAGCTGACTGGTGATGGCTGCCGGCAGGGGCAGCATCTTGGCCAGCTCGTAGAACTCGTAGTTCTCCTTGCCGCGACGCGATCTCGCCGCATCCCTCGACTTCTCCTTGCGCAGTTCCAGGATGCTGCCAATAAAGAAATGGAAAATATTATAAATACAATATTAAAAGGACAATATTAAGGAAAATAAATCAGTTTACATAAGTAGACACTGACGAATGGCGAGAGGTATAATAATAGGTGAGACGATCGGTTCTTCGCACCTGTCAGAGCCGTGTCTTCGGCCATTTGTTTGGCCAAGCCCGACGGATTTTGTGATGGAATGGTGTCAAACCGAAACCCTAACTAATTGCCTGGCATTTGTCAGCCTTTCAGCGCTCTCGGCGAGGGTGGGGTGAAGGGTTTCTAGGGTCTCTCGGGCACAATAGTTGGCCCAGACAACAGTTTGTCCCTGGACAAATGGCAGCTCATTTATCGCCAGTGAGTGAGTGAGAGAGTTTTTTCCCTGTCCGAGCTTCTCGTCGTCCGTTGCATTTTCATTACGATTTCCCAGCACACATCTTCCCCAAATCCCTATGAAAATGCCGCCTGCCAAAACGATCCCATCTCCTCAACCTCCACCTATATTATTTTTCTAAATGCCCAGAAAATTTTTCATTCACCGCCACCGATCCCCAAGACAGTTGATGTAGATGTGGATGTGAATGTGAATGTGAATGTGGATATGGATCTGCTCAGCCTTCTGCGGTTCCGCTATCTGCTGGCGGCCATCTCTCTGTGAGCATCTTCGTCGGAAACAGAAAAAAACTTGGCTTCAAGCATTCATAATTTAAGTTTGTTGACAACTCTTTGTGGTTGCTGTTTTGACCTGCAGTGAAATCATTGTGTGCGCTACGCGGACTTCGGCGGGCATAGCGATTTGAGCTGTACTCATAATAATCTATTTACTATATAACAAATAATTATTTTATAGGTCCTCGTAGAAGTGGACCCATTCACACATTTCCCCCATCTTATTAGAAAGACTTCTGTAATAATTCTTCTCTGGGTTTCTTTGAATTGCACTTGCATAAGGACAGCTGACCCGCTGAGTCCTTGCCATTTCTTAAAAGGAGTGCCCGTCAGGAGGGGAAGGAAGAAAGACAGAACACTGATAAAGTAATAACGGTACTCAGTGCTGTTTTTACCTTGACAAAGGCCAGGGGCCACACTTCTTATCCTTTATTCTCTATTCTTTATCCTTGTGTTGTGGGAACTCAGTCATAAACAAAAGGAAAAATGTTAGACTGGGTGACTTTCGCTCTCCTTCTTTGACCGCAGTAAGCCGCTTACCCTGCCTTGGGATCCTGTAATACCCGAATTAAGCCGCTAATCGAATTGCCTATCGGGGTTCTACTATAAAAATATTTGCACACTCTGTGCCAATCAAGTGAAAAAGGAGTTGTCCAAGGGAGATACAGATTGAGAGATTGAGATACCCAAGAAAATTTCACACACATGTTGGGACTCATAAAAGAGAGTTACATAAAAAAGTACGTTTAGACCTTATCACGAAGAGAATATCCTATTCTAATTCTTCCCCTATCTGGTTTCCTACTCTCATTTTTTGCCTGTATCCAATAACTTTCAATTTGTGCGAAATTTTTGGCAATTTTCGCTAATGACAGGCAATTTGTTCCTCTGTTAGACAGTAGCGAATTTCGTGCGAAATTAAAATCGAGACCGCACATCATTTGTCAAGGCAACACCTCCGATGCGGACACTTCTCACTCCCCGCCTGATTTGAATGGCATTTCGATATTTACACGGCCAAGATTAATGTTTTTTCTAGCCCAAAATTGAATTTGGGAAAAACGTTTCCTTCAACGATAGCGTTTTTTTATAGAGAAAACATTTACACGGCGTGTAACATACCATAAGGTACACTGACATCTCACTAAACGTAATTTCAACACAACTAATTAAAAGTGTTGTTGTTGATGCCATGTTCTTGTTGTCTCTTTTTAAACCAAAAGCAAGTGGCGAAGGGAAAACTGGCTTGGCCCGTGGCAAAGCCCAAGTCGGGGTTTCTTTTTAATTATCAAAAATATTTTTATGACGGTTTCTCGGCTGCGATACGGATCTCCATCTCCAGTGCCGCGGAGCTCGAGCCGAAGACGCAGAAATCCGGACCGAGGCCACAACTGGAGATGGAGACTCGAGAGTTGAGAGCCAGAAGCCGACGCGGCTTCAGATAAAGCTACGCAAAACGAAGCTCAAGTCGGTGATGAGCGCATTAAAATAAATTTAAGAGCCCACAAAATGTACACATAAGATGATTATTTCGGTTTAGGCTTTCTTGGACTTCTTGAATGCCCTACGATGATATGGTAAATAATAAATTCTTTATTTATATAATTATTCCTTGATGAAGTTTCCCTTCAAATTCTAACAAATAGGTTTTCCAATAAGGATAAGCCGTCCGATCTATTAAATGGTTTTGGTATTTCAGTATTGAAACGGAAACTCTTTCTGGGGTTATTAATTGGTTTTAAAATTAAGACTTGTTTCTAGTTACTTCACAAGACTGTTTGGAGCTTTCTTCAAGTTTTGAAGTTTTTTAACTGAATCATCGATAAGGTGGTTTCCCATTAGGATCTTAAGATACAGGCTAAGACCATACTACAAATTTCTAATAATATACAGGGACACTCTACATAGTTTCTTCTTCTTCACTTTCGGATCCTTCTTTCGCTGACTACTAACCCTGGTTCGATGGGCTGTTGCTGGGCATGCATGCCGGGTCCTGGCGGCTGCTGATGTCCGGGCATCTTGTTATACGGAGGCATAGCGCACAGGTCCTGGGTGGGCACCATCCAGCTGTGGCTGAACGGCACCGCCGGCATGGCCAGGGAGCCCATGGTCGCCATGTGGGAACCGGGATGCCCGGGCGTTGGCTGGCGCTGGTAGCCGGCATAGTCCATGGCCACGGCAGCCTGGTACGGCAACATGTCGCTCTGGGTATCGAATGGTCTTTGGACTATAATGTCTCTTTTAATATATTGGAAGTTTTCGCAGTTGGCGAGGACCTTTTGTCAGTAACACTTAACACATTTTCACTACGATATATTGCACTTGGTTGCTTTAGCTGCCTTGGGCTAGGTAGGATTCAGGGCTGCGAAGGCCGCCGCATCCTTTTGTGGCCGTGACACCAGACGCGCGTGTGGTACGTGTGCCCAATTATCCAGCGACCGTCTACGGGTCACGCACTGCACGGATGCGGATGTGGATCCGGATCGGGAAACTAGCCGTCAATCGATTGGCATTCAAATGAGGCGCGCCGCGTCCAGTTCATTTATCTCCGGCACTTGGCACGTCTCCGGGCTTCTGTTCGGGTTCGGGTTCGACGGAGACCTGCCAATTACGGGTACGCACTGGAGAGCCGGAGCCGGAGCGAAAGAGACGGATATGGAGGCACTTGCACGGCCGGGCTGCGTACGTGAAACTGCAGCTGATGACGCTGGCACGGTGAACGCTCCACGGAATACGGAATACGGAGTACGAAGTACGGAATTGGAATACGGAGTACGGAGAGCTACGGTACGTCCGTCGCTGGCGAAGAGTACGTGCAGAATAATCCCAGAGTCACGTTCGAGTCCGAGCCGAACAAAACCAAAGCAGGGCGAAAGGAAACGAGCGGCAGCGAAGCAGCAGCAGCGTGCGAGCGAGCGGGAAGACGCTGCTGAAATTCGGGGGTGATAACACTCCGAGCCGAAGCAGCAAGACGAAGCACGAAGGCTGTTGGAACAGCCGAGGCAACGGCGCCAGCTTAGCCAAGTGCAGCAGGGTGACTCGTTTTCAGAGGACGTTTTCGTATCTTGTATTATGAGGAAGTATTTCCGCGAAAGTGTCTTATATTTTTTTAGTGAGTTAGCTATATTATTGTAAGTGTTACTGTAGTGTAGTAACTGATACAAAAGAGAAGGAAATGTATTCAATGTTTGCAGGTTAACAGTATGAGGCACGATACTACAATCAGAACCCTTAAAATAAGAAATGCTCGAAGTCCTTAATTTACAACAAACGTTGAGCCACCCTAACACTCTCTGCTGCATGTGCCTGTGTGGGTGAGCAGCACCTGACCGCCTGCAGAGTCATGTGCGAGCAGCGCCAGTAGCATTTTAAGCAGCCTCACGCTTTCCAACATACACACCCGCACACACACACACCGACAGGGGCGGGAGCGTGTGTGCGTGCAAATGGGCGGGACGTGACACGGCGTCGAATCGGAATCGACATAGTGCGCATACAAAATGAGCCGCATCTGAAGCAAGCAAGCGAGCGAGACAGCGCGAGCTGACAGAAAGGGATGGTTGGATGTACGTGCCTGTTGGCAAACTGGTTTGCCCTAGCGCCATCTCATTCGCGCTCGCCCAATGCCCCATCTCGCTTGCGTTTATGTACTCCAAAAAAAGACAGAGAGGCAAAAAGAAAAGAAAGAGAGAGCGAGGGCGATGGGGCTTTTGTTTGGCGCTGCTGCACGCGCAGCAATTAGTTTACTTCTTTACACATTTGGGGACTCGCTCTCTCTCGCTTGCTCCCGCTGTGTGGGTGTTGTTGCTGTCGCCGCGCCTTTTTATGTGTGTTTGTGTATGTGACCGAAATGCCAATGAGAAGCGAAGAAGTAAAGCCTACGGATGGATGTCCTGCGGAATGAACCTGAACCCTGGAGCTTGAAGAACATAGGTTGGAAAGGGGGTCCTAGAAGTACAGGTAGTTGAGGCGGGGAACGTTTTGTTATTCCGCGCTCGCACAGACAGAAGCTGTCTCTTTTATGTGCATAGTCGCCCCCTCCAGAAAAAGTAAGGAGAAGAAACATCCTTTTAATTTCCACGGAAGGAGGCCCCCGGACTTATCAAGGTGTGGGTCACCATTTCTCTAGCAACATTGAAAACTAAATGTGGGAAATGGGGGAAAGTTTGCGAAGGACATTGATTGAAATGTGGAATAACATGGATTAAAGTGTGAATTAAATGGCAGTTTTAAAAAATCTTTAAGTAGAATTTAAAATTGTTTGCTTGGCTTAGTTATGAGTTATTTAAGCTTTGCTTTCTACCAAAAATTGTCTTATAAAATAGATAAATACTGACATAGATTGCGTATAAACAGGGTTTTATAATTTCAGTCTGAAGCTCAGGAGACAGTGAAGGAGTCATTTCCGCCCCCTTAAACTATATATATTCTTGATCAGCATTAACAGGCAAATCTTTCTGGGCATAAAAGGAAGAAACAAATTTTTTGTAATTTTTTCAAAAAATTTTAAGGGGTTACATCGTTAAAATTATCAAAAATTTATAAAAATTTCACAATTTCAAAACTTTCCATTAAGGTATGCAAATTTGTGAATCTATTCAAAACTAGCACAGAACAGGCTTCCGAATCGAAATTAATGCATTTTTGGCTTAGTTATGAGTTTTTTAAGCTTTGCTTTGTACCCAAAATTGTCCTAAAAAATAGATAAATATTTACATATAATGCGTATAACCTTGGGAGGTAGTGAGTATATTTAAATTTAAATTGAGTAGGCAGATTAATGAACCAGATAAAAACTAACATAGGACAGCTTTCCAAATTAAAAGTAATGCTTAATTGACTTAGTTATGAGTTTTTAAAATTTTATTTTTCAAAATAATTGTTATATAAAAATATTTATTAAAAATGAGAATATATTAATCTTAGTTATGAATAATTTATTATTATTTAATCGGAATATATATGAGTTTCGGCAATAATTTACTTTATTATATGCCTTAACAAGGACCTCGCATTATTGGTATTTTGGGGCTTAAGAAATGTAGTATATAAATATTGAATTATTCTAACCAAAGCTTTTTATTTAATACGTTCTGTGTGTGTAGAAAAGACCGTGATCTTTGTGATCCCGAAAAACTATATTTCAATAATCCAACTAACTATTTCCCTGATTCCTAATTCCACTGTCAATTTCCGTTGTTTTCCCAAAAACTAGAGCAGTCGTTGTCTTGGCCACGGCCAATTTGAAGCTTGCTCCTTCGAAAGCATCAACCCCATTCTCAGCCCCAATCCCAGGGAGGAGGAGCTGTGGTGTAGACATTACGTAAGCGTATCGTAACTGGAACATGTTTAGAAACCGAAACGTGATCGATTTCTTGGGAGAGAGTGAGTGTGATGGTGGAGAGGAGACAAGTTGGCGTAGCGAATTCTCCCACAATTACGGCAGCGGCGGCGGCGGCAATTGTGAATTTTAAAAAGGAAACGTGCCAAGTGCTTGGGTCAGGCGCAGGGGGTTACAGGGAGATGGGGGTAGTGTCCAATGAGAAGAGCTAGCTGCAAGGAAGAAGAGGAGGTGGTCGGCCATGTAGACAATGAATGAGGAACTCGAATCCAGCGCGCTCGCCATAAAAATCGAACGTGGAAAGCGTTCGCGCTTCCGGATAAACGCAAGGACGCGAGGTATCCGGGAGGCAAAACGGGGGCTGTTGGCGATGTCCACGTCCACATCTACGTCCACGTCCACGTCCATGTTCACGTTCACGTCCAGACACCGAGCAGACATCGTGGTCATCATCGTCATCGGCAGGCCGGCATTGAAATTGTGCGGGGGCGCGTGAAAGAACCCTCTTCTGTAGGTCGGCAATTGGCAAATGCTTGCACACTGTGCGAAAATATTTTAACTGTTGAGATAATATTCCATAAGGAACGTTTTGCTTTCGATAGCTTCGGCGGAGTTTACAGGTTATATTTATTAAATGCTGCTACTGAGTAGTTTGTTGAATCTTGAAAAACTTAAAATTGTTTAAAGTGTGTGGACTGCGTGTGGAATGCGAGTGTGGACGCTTTGTGGATGGCGAGTACAGACGGCTACTAGTTGCCTCAGGACAATGGCCATGGACGTGCAACGATGCGTGTGGTGGCGCCTCAACCCCATACCCTAATCCCCCTCCCATTAGGCACTTACCTACCGGGTTACCACCCCCTCGCCATTTTGAGGTGCGTGTGCGTGCTGCGGGCGACGTTGGGAACATGGACATGAATTTTCATTTCGGTTTCGGTTTCAGTTGCGCTTTCTGCTTTGGTTTTTCGAAAAACACTTGTAGTATTCCAGTCAGGAGCCTCAAATTCGCTGCATGACTTTTATGAATGAAAAAGCGAGAGCGGATAGAACAAAGCTCAAGTGTCTGGCGCACGTCTGCGCCGGCCTGCTCCTCCACATCACATCACGTTTCTCACGGAGACGCCACAGTAATCATCAGGGATAACCGAAGCTCTCAAGTATCCGTAGGAATCATATATTACGAGTTTGTTTTAATTTTAGTTTTTAATTTTCGTCAATATTTACGTAATTTACAAACTTCATACAAAGGATAGGCTCCTTATCCCGCCAAAGTCTTAACTATATTTTTGCGAACATTTTTAAATAAGAAAAAATCTAAACATTGAGAATGTACTACAGTGAAGACAAAAAACCCAAAGGAAGCGGATTGGCTGGTATTGGTGAAAAACGGGCAACCTGTAAACGAATTGAGTTAGCAACACTGTGGGTCTTGGGTTGGGTGGAGAATCCGTAAAGTTGCCGGGCGATGCATCCATCACGTTTACTCGAACACACGAGGCGTCCATTTCAAATAGGAATGTGAACGTGATGTTGGCCAGGCCAATTCCAAATGAAACAATAAATGCGAAAAACCAGAAACAAAAACAGAAACCAAATCCGAAGAGCAGGCATTCAAGGGCGCCTCGAAACCGATCGATAAACAAGCGATCGTCCCGATAAGATAGCGAGAGGATACTCAGTGGGAAAAGCAGTTACAGGAGGAAGCTATAAACTAACCGCGATCGCTGATCTGTCACCATTTCTCCTTTCTTCACTCATTTTCTACAGACGGACTGACCAGGAGGCGGGCCGAGGACCCATAAAACTGACGCGAAGTGATAAAATAGCTAAACAAACTGATTTCCAGAATAATCATTC